CCAATTTTGGGGGAATTTTTGAGACACATAGATACTAAGCTATTTTTCACTCAAGGAAGAACCCTGGGGTAAAAGTCATCCACTCTATGTACTAATGCTGTAAGATGTCTTTCAATAGGCAGTTGATTTCAAGCTGTAACCAAAGTATTTGTGTGTCCTGTATCTGCTTTGAGCAGCAATCATCAACAGGTATAGAAATTCAGTTCACATTATGAGCAAGTAGAGAGAAGGACTTTTGTTTCCTCTGCAGGGAAGGCTGCAAAATGACAGTGAAAGAATTGTTTTGAACAAAGGACTCCTCAGGTGTTTTGAGAAGTGAAACAAAAATGAATAATTGCTTTTCATTCTTCAAAAACTGAATCATTTTTGTAAGTTCAATAATAATGTCTTCAATGGTTGTTACCATTTTTTATAAACTACTTGGCTCTAACTATCCTCTGAATAAATATCTTATTTGTATTCTTATCTGCTCCTGAAACATCTTGCTATATTTTGCATAATGATAACAATTATAAATGTTTTTCTTCTCAAGGATGCAGTCTGCATTCTTTTACTTGCAAAAGCTCGTCTCTACAGAGACTTGCAATTCAGTTTATGCAGAATTCACTGCCTTACATTCTTTCAAGATTCATATGCTGAAGCATATTTCAAATTACAAGAGTTTCATAAAAAGATGTAGTGATGAGATTGGTGTATAATTGAATTTTAAACATCAGTATCTCACTTAATATTTAAGTCTTACAATGATAGGTGAGACATTTTATGATTAAATGGTCTTGACAATCCATGTCTCTCTGTTCCCAAAGCCAGACTCAGTAAGTTACAGTAGGTTCAACATATACTATGAGGAAGCACCTGGAAAGAAAACTATTTAGAAATCAAAGTCCACATTCACGGAACTTTGTTAACTGTAATGCCTGTACACCGCTGGTCAATAGAAATAAAAAAATTAAAAAAAAAAAAGAAAAATTAATTCTTAATTTTCACTGAATTGTATTTACTATTATGCTAATTTAAATGGTGTTTTGTAAAGTGCTCAAGGATTTTTTAAAATCAATATAAAGATACTATATTGCTTTTGTCAATAAGCACGCAAGAGAATTCTAAGAGGCATGTGAAGATGCTGAAGTGCTCTCACACAGAATTGCTGGTGACAGACAACTTTATGAGGGCCAAAGCTTCTTGTTCAAGACAGAAAAATTAATGCTTTAAATGGTTTGAAGGCCATATACAAGGAATCTAAAAGACAAAACCAGAACTGCTAGTGCCTCTCCTTCCACCATCCTGCGCTATTAAATCCAGCAGATACAAAATAGAATAGATTCTGTTCTAGTGTTTTTGATCCCAAGATGAAATTAATGTATAGTGTATATGAGGAGAGCTATTTTAAAATCTTGTCAAAAATCACTTCTGCATACTTGTTTAAATACATCATATGTTATAAGCCTTTCTGACAGTACCTGGCATAGAATACGCACATAGCCACAAAAAAAAGCAATTTAAGTTTTTCAATTGGTTTATCGTTATTTTCTTTAAAATCTTTCCTGTTGACAGAAACAACACTCGTTTATTAGACTGAAGTTTATTAAGTGTGTCTAAGCAGGATAATATCCAAGCCACCAGAAGTGATAGCTTTTATGAATAATTTTTCCAAGAGATATCTGAAATTTTTGTAAAAATTAAAGAAAAGAATAGTATGGGAAATAAACATAATTTGAGCATTTTTATCATCAGGAAATTAAATCGGTGGATTAAAAGTACCACAGCAGTGACAAACAGCAACTGCAGATGTATCAAAAATAGTTAATGATGCAAAGAACTGTAGCCTGTAAAGTTCCCTCTGTTTCAGCAAATATGGTCCAACACAATCTTGTTTACAGATGTACGTTAAGATCTTCCATTGTTGGATTTCTACCTATCACCAGCTTATCCAAAGATGAAGTCAGTTGACCTTATGGGACCAATACCAGAGAAGCTGTATAAAAAGGTGTGGATAAAGAGAAAAATCTCAGCTTCAAGCACAAACACGGCAAAGCCAGACAGCATGAATCTTTCAATGAACTATGAACAAATATATAATGAGATCAAGGAAGGTCCATGGATTTCATAGAATCATAGAATGGTTTGGGTTGTAAGGGACCTTTAAAGTTCATCTAGTTCACTGTTCTGAATAAAAGTAAATGAAAGGGGAATCAAAAGAGAATTCTTGCTCTTCTTGAAGGTTTCTGGAGTTTAGTTCTCAGGTCCAATACTTTGAATACGCATTAATTTTATGGAAAGGATCACGGAGAGTAGCTGACAGATGTTAGCAAACATACTTGATGTGATACAGTATTTATATGGCAGAAGGAAAAAAAGCAAAGTGAAGTGTCATGTTAAATAAACCCTGAAAATACAAAATGAAAGAACGGGGGTAAGTAAGAGAGAAAGAAAACAGAGACAAATGGCTTAGTGCAAAGAAGGCATATATTTAAACCAAGATTGTGATGAGTCTGAAAATTAATAGAAGAACCTTAAGTGAGAGAAGGATGTGGATGATAAGACAAGGATAAATCAAAAGACTTGCAAATATAGTGACAGCAGCACAAAAAAGAAAGTCAATAAATAAATATTTCAAAACCAAAAGAACATCAAACTTTCCCAACCACAGAACCAGTTTGAATTAAAATGCAACTAAGGTGTAGAATTTTCAGCAGAAATCTGAAAGCTAGTAGATCCTAAAAGAACTAAAAGTACATCAAAAATTCAGGTAAGGGAAGTAGACTCGTTCACTGAAGTGTAAGACCACAATTTTGCAAGTTGTCAAAAGAGGAGTTTATGAAAGCATAAAATTGTAAATCCAGGTGTTTCACAAGAATCTCTCTGACATTCAAGAGGATAAAACTTCTGCAAAACTTGGTACCTTTTCCAGGACAATACAAAAATTTCGGTTTTAAAACAGTGCCATACTGGGCACTCTAGACATATATCCATCAAACCCCCTTTTTTCATCCCTTTATCATTAAACTCCAAAGTTAGGTTGATACATTTCTAATTTAACTAACCAACAGGAATATGAAAATCCTTCCCTTTGGAAGGATAGGCAATCTGAAAGCCTTAGTGACCAGTAAACACATACAGAAGGCTAGCCAAACTAAGACTGAAAGTACAGTAAGTAGGAACAAGGTACTTCTCAGGATCACTGCCTCTCTGGTTCCAATACTTCACACCACTCTGACTACATATCCTTCCTGATCTTTGACTGCAGTAAAGTAAACAGGGGAGTGGGAATATAAAAATGCCCTGAGTTTTCCTAAGTATCTTTCTAATCAAGGTAATAATCTGAAAACTGATCCCATTACTGTTTGAAGATAAATGATTTAAGAAAGATAGAAAATTTAGTGGTCTTGCATCCACAGCATTTACTGAATTCCTGGTAAAACTGCTGGAACCTTAGAGTAGAGCAAAACCTTTGAGCAGAGGTTAACAAAAATCTGAATGTTTACACAGAAAAGATAAAAAATATTCCTTTGGGGTAGAGTAAGCTTTACTGTGGAATATCTGCAAGGTTAGACAGTCCAAACACGAACAAGGACAACTTGTGCTTTAAAATGTCTGCTTTCTGGATATTCTAGTAAGAGACTTACAATGAAACACAGCCAATAAACATGCTAACAATATGACTTGCACTGTTTGTACTGCAAAGTCTGTATAATACTAAGTTAGATAAAAAAAAAAAGGCCTTCTTGATAAAATTTACATGTTGTTTAATAAAAGAAATCCATTATCCCATATTCCCAGCAAGAACAAGACGTATGCCAAGGGAACAGCAACATAGCAGGGTCAAAAATTAGGCAGAGCCTAAGAGAGAATCATGAAATATCTGGAAATACAGGGATGATTATGTAGACAACACAGAAATGCATCTGAGCTCAGACTGATAACAGTTTTCAAGAGAGCGTTGTGCAAACTCAAGTATTTAGGTAGCTCACATAATGTTTGGATTTATCAATACTTGGCTGCACTCTCCATCTTGCAATATCCAGGATTGCCTATTTTGCCTCCTTTTTTCCTCTATCTCCAGGCCCAGCTGTATTTCTCTGTTCCCTATATACCCTTCCTCAGCCTGCCAGCATCATGTACTATAACTGGTGCAAAAGCTGCACGTATGTTGATGGGTGGCTGCGTGGCAGGAACACGTTTTGACTGACCAGCTGACCACTGTCCTACATCTGCTGCAGAGACCAGGCAGCAGATACTTCTTCACCTTTGCAGAGTAAGGTACACAAATCACTGTATATGTACCCTTTAGCTAGACCTGACCCAAGGCAACCAGAAACTGTCTAACACAGACTACTCTGAGAAGGTTAAAACTCTCAGTAGAGCAGTAGAGTAACACAGTACACACTGAGCTGTTCAGCCTACTCCGGGCTGGTACCAGTAGCCATCAGAACTGGTTTAAAGGAGGCATGGTTGGCATCCTGTTGTAGTCAGCAAAAGCATATGATTCTCTGATTTTATTATTTTCAGCTATGATTACAGTATTAACTTTTGTCTTTGAAGAGGAGGAAGAATACTCTTTCACATGGAAACTTTTATCTCAAATACTCATCAAATTCCCAATTCAAATACTTCCAAGTAAAACAGATTATCTGTTAAGGTATCTCCTGTCCTGCCTTAAATGTTCAGGTTTCAGACCTCTGGCAGTGTTATTATTCCACTATGAAGTTTTAAAGGATGTATCAACATCAAATGTCTGTCAAAAAAAATCAAATAAACACTTCTTCACATTTAATAAAGAAACACTATTGTGCTATTTTTATTGATTTATAAAAGCAACAAGGAAATTCACATAGTGATTTTTTTCCCTCTGTTGGTAATTTTTGTGGTTAAACATGCATTACTTGTAATACTTATTTTGTGTCTGTTGTAAAAATACATACTTATTTTTCACCAGAAAAATATTATAAAATTAATAATAAATTAACTGAACACAGAAGAGTAAATGTAGACAGTAATACCTGAAACGACACCAATTCCATCATCACAGTCATAATCAGAGACTTCACTATCACTGATTCTTTTGGACCCTGCCAAAAAAAAAAAAAAAAAATCAGAAATGTATCATTTATCTTCCTGTAAATTAAAACCAACCTCAACCAATAATATATAAATAAATTTAAGTATTTCATACTAGGCAACGAAGCATTAGTATAAGCATATAAGAGAAATTATTAATGTTATATTATTGCAAATATATTAGTGTACTAAGTATTTTCAGCTAATTGTTTAATGTAATATAAAATGAAATGCTGAAATACAGCTCCACAACACTGCTTTTATGAATTCTTTTCGTATACTTCTTATCTGTATGTATTCATTCCGTATAGAAATTGACATCACACTGTTCATCTTCCAAGTTTTCATTAAGGCAACATCCCTCCCCAGAGTCTCTGAATACCAGAAAAATTAATAATAGCAATAATATTAAATGAATGTAGTATCATCCTTAGGGTATTAGCGAGCATTATCAGGAGAACAGGCAGCTTCACACATATAGTGTGTCCTGAAAAACAAAATATCTCTGTGATACTTTAGAGGAAGTAAATTATTAAATGCTCTATAAGAGCACACCCTTCAAAATAGCTAGAGCTTAGCTGGCAAAAGCAGATTCCACATCCACAAGGAGAGCCAACATGTAGGTCACATAGCACCTACAGTTTGTTTTTAGCGTAATTTTACTTCTGTCTTCTGTGGCATCCTTTTAAACATCATTTGATTGCTGACATCAGGATTAAGCACTGGCATGTTAATGATAATTATTCATTTACTTGTTTTAAATGTGAAAATCCCTGTTCTTCAGCAAAATGGTGTATCTGTTCTAATTTTCTGGCCGCTTTAATCTAATTGTCACCAAACCTCCAACCATGTGCAAGATATTTTTATTCCTACCACAGGATAATTTATTCTGCAAAACACACAAACAAATATACCAGTAAAAACTGGCAGTAAACCTAAAGAAGCCCAGGACAAAGCATGATTAATGTTCTACCCAGGTGACTGGCACGAAACGATCCCTACACTCCTTTGCCAACAGAAAACAGGGAGAAAAAGTCCTAAGAGGATTTTTGAGAAAAATAGAAAAGTTTTCAATTTGAGGAAATTTTAGCAATTATTTGAATCATAAGAACTGCTGTCATTTGCCAGTCTGTCTAACATCTGTCTACCCACCAGGGGATAGTGGAAGGTCCCTCTTTAGTGGAAAGTGTGTGCTTACAAGATCTATATGGGAAAAGTTCTCTTTGTTACACCCTTCTAGATTTCAGCAGGCAAAGGTCATGGCAAGTGAGACTTCTCCTAAGCCATCCTGTTTACTGTAAGACATTAATCAACCCATTCTCCACAAATTCATATGATTTCTTTTTGAGTCACAGTATTCTCTTGGCCTCTATGATATGCTATGTCAGTAAGTTCTGCAGTTTAATTTTGTGTTGTGTGAAATAGACTTCCCTCTGTTTTATTTCTGTTACATTATTTCAGACAATTCCCTCCAAGCTTTTGTATTCTGAGAAACATGAATCAGCATTCTGTATTCTCCTGCAGTCATCTCTTTTTTTTGAACTGAAATACCATTGTTTAGTTCCTTTGAATATACAAACCATTCCATATTTCTGATTTTTCCTGCTGTATTTGTTTGTATGTTTTATAGTTCTTCTATGCCATCTATGAGAAGTCAGAAGTGATTGCAGCAGTCAAGATGTGGGTGTATGAATTTATAAACTAGACTGCAGACTACTTATTTGGGGATAAAAAATGCTGTGTTAAAAATTACTCAACTAGAAAATGGTGTAATATGTGTTAAGTCTTATAAAGCACAATGTAGTCTGCCATTACATTATGTAATTCCAATAGACCAATGTTGATTATTGTTATTTAATTTCAGGAAAGGTTGGGGGTTTCCTCACAAATAGGAAATTAAAATTAATACAAGGAAAGCCATGCTTTGGCTTCCTATGCCTGCAATTCTTACATGGTAGAATTATTAGTTCATTTTATTATAACAGTTTAGAAATATCCATGCTACAATGGGGAGGGGGAAAGGTGTCTTTGAATTCAAGAAATAACAAGTAAAGTCTTTCTCTAAAACAGGTGTGATCACACTTGGCACTCAAGATAACCTGGAAGAGGGCAGGAGTGAAGGAAAAGTTTTCAGCCTCCTAATGGACTGAGAATCAGAATTTCCAAAAGCAATTAAGTCTGACAAGGACAATATTCAATCTCATTATCTTCTTTCTAATAGTATCACAGAAGCCCAATTAAAATCTCTCTTGCTTCCCAAAGAAAGAGCATCCATTCCACCTGCGGTGCTGTTGCTGCTGCCATTTTCAGCAGAACCTTCTACTGGTGTGATAATATACATGCCAGTGAGCAAGAAGGATTAGTCTCCATTCTCCTTAGCCACTAATTCAAAACCAGGTCATTAAATAAAAAGAACATCCGTGACCAAACACTAAGAAAGAGATCTCTACTAGTTTGGCTGGAATCTAAAAGGCAGAAGCCCCAAAGGGAGTGTAGAGCAGTGCAATTCTGGCCTTTTGTGATCTGGGACTGATCTGGCAGTGGGACTGTGGCTGCTGTGCAGAGATGCCAATAACATCCCTTGGGCTCTAGCAGAGAGAGAGGATTGTGGAACAGAAAGATGATGGCAAATGAAGAGTTTGCTGATGCTCATCACATGGATGCTTGGAAAGGTTTTTATCATGAAAGATATAAGAGGGATGAATCGACTATAATTTGAATTAATGTCATTTACGCATCATCTAATTCATCCTTATGAATGAATCTAATTACAACTGAGGTTGCTTTTTATTTATGTTTATATTTACAGCTAAGTACATCTGCTTTAACATATTTTTAGAATATTATACTCTGTTCTGCAGAAACTATTTGCATCTTTGAGGATGAAAATAGCCAGTTGTTGTCACAGTGGCCTCTAGACTTCCTAGTTGCATAGCTAAAATTGTATGCTGTAGTAGTCACAGGATACATCTAGAAAGAAAGAGACTAAGAAGCTTCAATGGAGCACAGGTTTGAAAGACAGGGGTCTCACTCTTTCTGTCCCCTCAAACCACATCCATCTTTTCAGGATCTCCTAACATCTCAGCTCCAAATCACCTTCCAGGATCTAGAGACCCTATTATCTTTTTATATACAGATCTCTGTCTTCATTCCTGTCCAAGCTGCAGGGAAGTGCTGGGGTATGGGGAGAGTGAATGGGCCAGGACTGAGACCTGCCCTAAGGATGGGAGTAGAGAAAGAGCAGAGTCAAGAGAAGAATCAGATTTCAGGGCTTTGTTCAACTGCCTTTTGCTACTGCAAAGAAGAGAGTCTCTTGTAATAGCTGGCGTCCCTTAAATACAAAAACTGTATCTATAAGATGAGGGATGAAGCTTGTTCACATCAGATCATCTATTCTATTTCCTCAAATTGAGGCTACCTTCAGCCAACTCTAACAGCCTTAAACCAACCGAAAAATTATAATTTTTAAGTAATATTTCACATTTACTTATAAATGTAAATTTAAATGCTGGTTAAGACGTCAGAAGAAATTTAAAACAGAATTAATTACTTGGTTTTATCTTTGGAAATCAATGCTTTCAGGAAGGACAAAGGAAGGAAAGCATGCCAGCTAAGTAAGTAATGTCATGAAGTACTGCCTGGAATATGTAATTTCTGCAAAGGAATCATATTATATTTATTTTAAATGTCTTCCATTAACTTCAGAAATGGAGCAAACTAGAAAGTGCACAGGTCAAAATCCATTATTGAACTGAGTATTCAAAATATGAGTATAATAGCTGGCAGCTTAGTTTAATATTTCTTATAAATTTTGCAAGAGTAATTTCATCTGCTCTATATTAATTTTAGATGGTAATTTTCTTTTTAACCTATTGACAGTGTAAATTTGAAGATTTAGGCTTCAGTCCCACCTTAGCCATGTCTTTTTCAAAATGCCACTTCATTATCTAAGTAATTTGAACCACAGATCATAAAACAGAGAAAGAACAATTTATAGTTTATCTGAGAAATGTGACAATGAAGACTCTCACAAATTACTCCAAATATTGCTAATGAAACTGTTATTTAGTATTTTAATGAATATCTTAAAGTGTCTGACAAATATATTATAAAATACTGTACTTATTTCAAGAGTAAGAAGATTAAATCTATTCTAACATGAATTCAAAATTCAGTAAAAAGTTTAAGCATGTAACACCCAGGACACTGGGTACATCAAATAAATGTATTGGTGCTAATGGTTTGCATATAATTAACTTTTTCTTGGATGGACTTTAAACATGAGGAATGGCATTTATTAAGTCTTACTGCCATTGAACTGGAATATAGCTTATTAACGAAACATTATTAGGGACATTATTACCATTTTATCTAATAACTGGGTGGTAACATATGATAAATATGGACTTTTGAATGCCTTCCACCAGGATTAGTGGTCAATATAGTTACGGACTGAAGGCAAAATAGAGCCCATGCTGTATGTGTAGTGTAAACCACATAAAAAATGCCTTTAATTCAGCATAACCCCAACTCCAGTGAAATCAAAAGGTAAATTCTTATTCACTTTAGCAGGTTTTGGTTTAATAGCCTTAAACTATCAATAAAACTGTTTTCCAGGGACAGCTTACGTTGGGGACAGTGGAGAACATCAGAACTCGATAACTCTCAGTATCTTCCTTCCCTCTCACACTCACATGCTCCTTCCCTACCTCTGCTGCACAAGCTACCATCCCACCCAGCACGACAACTCTGCAAGAGCATTTACACGCAAGAACTGGAAGCTTGCAGCACTTGCACTGTAGCTTTCATTGCAAAGCTGGAGAAAAACCCCATCGTCTAAAAACCACTAGGCCCATTATTTTCAATTCTCATTTAAAACTTACTTTCTATTTACATTTTTACTATTTTTCTTATTTACATTTTTATTTTCTATTAAGCAGAAAAAATATTAAAACATGGTAATTTCTTAGAGATGTAGATCATATAATGCTCATTGATATGTCCGATATAGGCCTCAAGAGAACACATAAGGTTCAAAACTACTAAAGTCTATACAACCAACCAATGTAGTTATCAGAATGGACTAGGACAGGGGATAGAATAAGAAATAAAATTAAGGTGAGTTAGCTTAAATACAGAAGGAAGCGCCAGATTTATGTTCAGGAATTCAGTGTTTCTCTTGTTGGGGGGGGGGGGGGGGGGGGGAATGGAAAAAGAAAGCAGACCAAGCCCCTGAGCTGGGGATCCTGCCCCTTACAATGCAGGAAGCTTTTACAAGATTTTGTGGACTCCTTTGGGGAACAAAAGGTAGTGAAGCATGATTATGAGCTCCATCCCTGAAGCTCACAGAAGGCCTTCACAACCACTTAAAGTAACAGAGTTGCCTGTAATTGTCCTGTGTTCAAAGCTGACATAAGCAGCCCTGAAATCAGTCTCACAACTGTCTTAATAATTTGCTCTCTCATATTCATCCAGTCTGCCCCTTAGGGTTCTTAGTGTAAACTAACTTCTCATGCAGTCCCACGGCCTCCACGTCAATCTGTCACTTTATCCTCCTGCATATTATAGAGGGATTTTTAATTTTTCACCAATTTCATCTACACTGACAGAGGGGTATAAATACCAAGTTTAATTGAGTTTCTACAGATCTTTGAAGATGATTGCTGGATAGAAGAGAGAGATACAAATCAGAACCTCTTAATGAAAAAGAAACGTTATAAAGCTAAAATCTGTGGTTAATCCATGTGTGCACAAGTCCACAGTTGCCACAGCAAACATGGTCTCTTCCCACGTGAAGATATTGTAAAACATGAGAAGAACATGGGATTATTTCAGAAGAGAATGGAATAGAAGAAACACAGGAGACAAAAGGTAGGTGTAATGGGAACTGCACCCAGTGGGGGTTTTGCTTCTGTTCACCATGGTATTGGATCTATTTTCTTAACAATGTGTGTTTCATTTTTTAAACATAACTAAAAGATAATTAGATGAACCAATTCTCAAAGAGATTCCCATAATTAAAACTTCAGGAACTGCAAAAAGTCCCACATGAAATGCACTAGAAAATTTAAGTTTTTAAAAATTGTGCATCATTATTTTATTTATATTTAATTAAGACAAACTTCTCAGATATAGCAACTGGATTTGTAACTGAGGATTTCAATCAACATGAGCTGTAAAAATATGTATCAGTATAACTACCGATTTTGTCAGTACTTCACTTACCCCATGTCTCTATTCTAAAAATACCTACACTAGCTCTCAAACAGCTGTAATACAACAGTGTTCCTTTTAATATAGTTTAAGCACTACAGCATTTTCCTAGTATAGTTAAAAAAGCTCACTACAGTTTACCTACCAAAGCTCTACCTAAAATAAAGGCAGGCAAAGCAAGTATAACATTACAATACTGCTCCAGTATCAATACTGAGATTTTAATAAAGGAAGCGAACAAAAGACCTGTGACTGAAAAGCAGACAAGAAAAGACAAGGAACATTTAAGCAATTTAGCATCTGCACAATAGGTAGCAAAAGCACACCAATAAAATATCAAATTAAATTCTGCATGTATATGGAAGCAATAAGCATTTCTGGCATGCTGAAAATTTACCTGAATTATATGAATATAAGCCTTTATCTGGAAAACAAATATTGAAATGAAGTAGTGTCAGGGAAAAATACATGAATCAATACATGTAACAGGGATGGTTAGAACCTTAAACTTCATTATAATTGCTGCTAGAGATTGAAGAATTTGATACTGTAGGCCACATTCATTCAAAACAACAGAACTCAAGCAGCTAGGAGAAATTAAACCACAAAAATGCCAACCTTTTCTGGATCAACATTTATATTCAGTAGTCACAGAGGACTAGTAGAGCTATTACAGTATTTTCCAATTCTGAAATACAACTGCACATTTGCTATAAGCAAGTGTTTAACTTTGTAAGGGCAAAATTTATATTCAACTAGACATACAATATGAGCTGCTACCCTTAAAGTTACTGCACACTGCTGTCGGCACTTCAGCAGGAAGTTATTAGCAGAACTTTCATGAGATGTAGCTATGAATCCTACTTTAAATTTAACAGCCTCAGAAGTGATGTTCCAGTCAATCTTCTGGTCCCAGCTAGGTCTTGATTTCGTAAATGTGTGCATACATGAATACCTTATCTACACATCATTGTTACCAGTGAATTTAAGAGTCCTGATGTGAGCACAGTGATTAAATACTTGAAATACTGGATTTATTGCTTGCATTCCTTAAGTCTGGCCCTTTCATGTATTTTAGCTTTCTGTATAACCATAACAGTTTTTATAAACTTGACAATATAGTCATATGCAAATATCTAGGCAATTATGGAAATGTACATTCTTACTTTGCATTTGCAGATTTTGTAAAGGTGACTTCCATACAGTAATATGAAGAAGCCAGAATAACATGAACAGTATCTTGCCATTAGCAAGATATTATGAATATTTTTAATTTCTTGCAGTTGAATGGTTCACACAGACACCATCTTAAATATTAGGGAGTGACATTCCATGAGTAAATGATGCACCTCAGATGACAAGATATGACAGTGCCAGAGTTAAAATGAAAACTTCAATTTCTTGCCAAGTGGTGCTGTTAAGAACTCACTGGATGACTAGGTACCTTCTGGCAAGTCACACTTTTTCTGACATCCAGGTACTATTTCAATATGTAGACCATATCATTCAATCACCTACTAACAATTTCTAACTCTTTATATTTTCTAATTGGGTTTCTTGAATAATCATAATTAATTTTTATGGCCCAGCTCCAGAATTCCATTACTATAACTTCATATAGCTATATAACTTCAAAGTGAATAATGTTTTTTTTTTTTCAGCATCATTTACAAACTTTTAGATGTGAGCTTCACTGCATAACTTCTCTAATACTTGTATTCCTTGGTACTAACTTCATCATGAATTTCACTAAATGGCTCTTCTTTGGCTACAAAAGTATGAAAAATGGAGTATGGAGAAGTTTTCTAGTTTAGTCAAGAAACATCAGAAAATCACCAAAGGTTCAAGAATGCCTTCAAAAAAAAAAAAAAACTAACATAGTCTAGAAATTATTTATATAATTAAAAACAATGGACTTCCTGAATTCAACTTCTTGAAAGATCTGTAAAAGGGTAGAGATTCCTGAAGAGCATAAGAACATAAAAATACTGAGTTTATAATAAGAGTGAGGAGTAAGGAAGAGATGTTCGTTTCCGCATGGTTACAACACGGAAAGGAAAATGTCCGAATAGTATTAAGCCCATCTGAAAACTTCATCAAAACCATCACACTGTTATATGATAGTTTATTATGTTTCAACAATTAAAAAAAAACCCTACACACTACCTTTAGCTGGAAAAGGAAGCTACTATATAGACCTGTATCTTTTCAATTCTTTTTAAAGGTTACCTGACTTGCTATTTATCAATTGCCTAGCAAGGTTACTTTAGCCTGTCCACTGTGTTATTTCAATAGACATTGCTTTTCTGTCATCATTGTATGACAAAAGAGTAGTTTAATAACATGATGTTATCAAGTAATGAGAGCAACAAAGTTATGAATAATCAAATTTCCTTAAACTTCTTCAAAACAGGATTTTAAGTATTTTTGTAGTTTAATTACAATTCAATAAATTTTGTTTTAAAATTTTCAAACAGCACATAGTTAATATCTTAAATTTCTTTTATGAGGAAAAATAAAAATATTTTTATAGTTTAAGGCCTTTTCAGACACCCCTGTATCATGTTAAATACCTTCTAATTAAAGTATTTAATAAACCATAGATGTACGATAAATATAATAAATCATAAGTGTATAATAAATACAATACTGGTATATATAACCATATTCTATGAACCAAACATCAATGCATGCAAACAGAGATAACATGCCCAAGGACTGTGCTCCATAAAAGAAAGAGAAAAACTAAGGAAGAAGTATGAAAGAGAAAAATAAGTGTTATTCCTGCTCCCTAGGGTAAAATTCTTATAATACATTCATCGTTCATAGTCTGTGCCACTGACCATAAAATGCTCCATATTATAATTTGGAAAAAAGTCACTGATGCATGTTTTCATTAAGTACAATTCACTTACCTACTAGTGAACAGCATTGGTGTAATTCCCACAAGTAAGATTCAGTGACATTGATTTAAAATTTTCATACTGACTTATCATATTCACAACAAACTAAAAGGAAAGTGCTGAGAGAGCAAGATTCTGATTCTGCAGTAAAATGAAATTCCACAGAGTTCCAAGGGAGTCAATAGCTTTCATTGGAAGACTGAGGTTTGAAATGCACCAGCTCAGATTTCATAGGGTAAAGTTTCAGACACATTGTAATTAATTATTGTTAAACTTTCATGATTTTAGTACTACCAAGTGTACCTCTTAATGTTCTACAAAATACTTGAAAATGTTAACATTTAAATACTGGAAGAGAGTACTTGAATTAACAGTTATAACTTTCAACTCATCTTTGATTTGATGGTACAGCCACAGAACTTGAAAAAAAACAAACCCTCAGCACCCAGCAATGACAAGTTCATCTAAAAATGTTTTTCAAACATTTATAAGCAGTGGGGTCCTTTACTTGTGAATTCAATTTACCGATTTGGTTTTCTTAGTCAGATGTAATAATTTATAGCATGTTAAAGTCTCAGCATTGCCCCAGAAAATATAGTTTCGCATGGGAAAACATACAAAGCTGACAAGACATGATAAAAATTTTTCATGTAATTCAAAACACTTTGCTTATGCATTATAGATTTTTTTATTCCCATCTGAATGAATAAATAAAATTCAGAAAATAAATGTTACATATAGTTTCTTGCACACTATATGCAGACCTTTTTGTAGAACATAACTACACTAAAATTTGTCCCTAGTTTTACTCTTTACTGTAATTTCTCTCCCTCCAGACTTTTCTTACGTGCCTTAAGAATCATAAAACTCATTGGATAGAGTCATCGATGATTTTAATTCTAAAAGTAATTAAAGTCAAATTCACTTTAAAAGAAAGGTATTTCACAGTCTTTTTATTTACAATTATTTCAATCCTAACCAATTTTTCTGGTGTGCAATTCCTGGAAAAGTACAATTTGACCCACTATTTTGGACTTCTATATATTGATTTCCAAACACTGTAATTTCTAAAATCAGACCTTGTTTTCAGGAGAGTTCATCTCACTTAGATTTACTACTTTTCCCTTACTGAGGATGCTCAAAATATAAAACTTCACTGTTCTTTTTCAAACCATATTGTGCATTCTCATGGCAATTAAAAACTCTCCTTCTACTGCTGTACTTACCTATGCTGTTGCTAGAGACCTGAAAATGTCTAGTTTCACTGTTATGTTCACATTTCTTCCCTTGTTCAGGCATTTAGCTGTTATCTACATTGTACACCCACTCTCTGCAGTCTGCAGATCAATAATTCAGACAGATTGGTTTTAAAGCTAAAAAATCTGACTTAGAAAACTAATGTCAGTTACTTTCTAATCCTAAGGAACTGGGAAATTCTTAAAATACTTGAAGTAAAACAGAATTTCCTTCTCAAACAAATTCAGAATCAGTATAAAACTAAAACCAATTGTTGTTCCTCAAAATGCACAGTAATCCAGTATTCTTTATCAACTAAACGGTATCAGCTCATACCTCACAAATGCACACATTACATGGACATAACTGTAAAAGATTGAACAGGAACATCTCAAATCCAATTTGTTATCTGTTATTTCTGTATTCTTGGCTACATGGAGAGGAAGTAATTTTTGATTTTCAATCCCATGGTATAAACCCTGCTTGATTTCTGTATCAGTTCTCAATAAATACTAATACTAACAATAACTTCCATCCCATTGATCCTAACTGTGAACACAACGTTCAAACCACATTTAATTTTCAACGTAATCTGTCATAAGCCTGTTACTTAATGTGAGATGAAACAACAGTACTGTGGCCTAACCAACAGGAATTATCACCTCTTCTTTAAAATAGTCTTTGATTTTCTGTTTACAATTTCTTTTCAGAGGCAATATAAAAAGAACATTAGTTTGTCTGTAATTCTAGTTAATGTCTGTAATTCTTAATTGATGGCTGATTTTACGTCAAATGTTAGAGAAAACAAAGCCATTTTAAAAAATTCACTTAGAAAGTTCAGCACGATAAGTAAAGTAGACCTCATTATCTCACATCTCATGTGAGAAAAAGGTTAAGATATACCCTTGGACAAAAAACAGTCAGTTTATGAAAATCTAAAATATAATTAGCTGAAAGACCTAGTAAATCATAATCCTATGTTCTATATTAGTTACAGTTTTGAAGTAGATGTCTTTCAAAACATACTAAGGTAAAAGCATGGTAATGATCCTTCATCACTGGGAAGTTAATAGATTGTATGGATCAGAGGACTGGGTAAGTGAAGGTGGACAGCTGGCTTCGATCAGTCTGTAGCACAACATAATGCCCACTCAAAGATGTTGAGAGATAAATATATGTAGAAACTAAGCTACTGTCTCTGAAAGCTTGTTCCTAAAAAAATGGCATATGGGGCTCTGTGGAACACCTGCACTTTGCTACTGGCTATCTTGTAAATATAGGAGTTCAGTCTGCAGGGCTGACAGTCTGCTCTTCTTCAGGAATGCTACAATTAAGTGATATTAAAAAGAGAAGAGAAGTAAGTGGTAAGTGTAGGTGGTTCTTTTAAACCATCTTCAAAGAATAACATTTCAGCATTGCCTTCAAATACATGTATTTATAGTTACTTGGCAATCATGAAGATAAGAAAGCTTAGATGTGTAGCTGTGTATTTATACAAACAATAAGCAACCTTGTAATCCAAAATATCTCTCGTTGCTTCTCACAGTAACAATTTTTGGGAGCATGGAATAAAGTACTTCATACAGTACTCACTAATTCTATACATAGAACCATCACATAAATGAACAAAAGGTGGGAGGACTGAACTGCTTGGATTTTGCAGCCCCAGAAACTGAAATCAGTCTACTGTGTAACAACACATTAAGTGTTCTAAGATGTGCTTTGAAAAAGATAGACAAGCTTGCTAGACATGCCTTGTCTTCATTCTGGAGATTTTTTTCACATTGTCATAATGTGCCACTGTATAACATTTTCTGTTTCATCGTATACAAGAGTTATATTGGAGGATATACAAAAAGCTTCAGACACAATAAAGATATTAAGTTTAACTTAATATTCTTTTGAAACCTCCAAAAAAAGAAGTAAAAGAACCAGACTTCTATATGTTATTAGTATGTTATACATATTTTACTTAGTGAAGGCAGTCATAAGATGTGCTGTCTGTCCTTCACCAGTCCCTTGGTGATGACATTTAGCTTGGGAAGGGCTTTTTAGAGGCCATCTGGCGCAACACCAGTTTCAGGCTTGACCAGCTTACATTGCATTGCTTACAGCCTTGTCCAGCTGGGTTCTGGATATCTCCAATAGCTTATTCCACCACCTCTCTGGGCACCAAGAAATACTTTTATTTCCATTTCAGAGGTGTGACACCAATTAAAAAAAAATATATTGTATTTTTTAATTCGTATTCTCAGGATAGTAGACAATGTCCTTCTTTATGGGATCCCACTCTTAGTATGAATACAAATATCATAATTTATTGTAGGAGTATATGAATTCTCCAGCAATTGCAGCAGAAGTCTGACACTGCTTATTTGACTGAAGTTTCTAGAACTTCCACTTGTCAAAGTACTGCACGGGGAACAGCCAGCCTAAATCATCTTCATTGAAAAGCAGGACTTCTACACCAAATCTTAATGTTTCACCAAACCATAAGTCCTTCCCTCTACACTTCCAGACAGGCATATAAGATTGTTCAGTTGAGCACATTACTGGTATTATTATTTATTAGTATTAAAAATCTTACTGACTTTCCAATTTTGAGCCAATATCATTGAGCGGACCTTTAGTCAAGTATTACTACAATCTTTTGCAAAGTAAAGCAGTTACTATTTTATTCATTCTTCATAGCAGTTATTTATTGCCTAGGCAAGAATGACTATAAGCAAACAAGGTTTGTTTACAGGACTGAATATTTCCTGAAAAACAGAATTTCACTATCTTCATATACAAACAGACACTTAAATGTCCAACTGATCTGTAAAAGTAATTTTACATGGAAAAATTAACTTTCCATGTTAACTCTGCCATTACAAGATGCCAGAAAATATAGAAGAAAAATATTTTTAAAACTTTACTTAAACAACAGTCATGGTACTTGAGAAGACTGGAGATGACTGAATTGAAGCAGAACTCATTACCTGTTAACTACAATTTCTTTTTTTCTTTTGTGGTTAAGTATAATCTTATAGCTTGAAGGCTATGCAGTGTAACACTGTTAATGTATCTATCTCAGAATATTATGATATGGAGCATTTTAATCCTCACCATCCAGTGCACAGACAGAAAAACTGTCAACTACTTGAAATACTTATATACAAGGGATTATTTAATATAGAATCCACATAGAACACATGAAATATCTAAGCGTGTTTGTGTGGCTACACACACATATGCTTTTGTGAGTTTTTGTGTAACATATGCACATACTCACATATAATGACTCAAAAAAAAAGAAAAAAATATTGGAAATAGTTTTTGGTTTGTTGTTTGTTTGGTTTTTTTTTCTGTATGATTATTAACTGATATTTTATGAAGTTAATTCAGCAAAGGATAGCTTTAAATCACTGACAGTACTGAACAGTTAAAACTAGAGAAACAATGAAGTATTAAGGAAACAACTTTTCACCATTTACTGTCTTATGCTTATATATCTATTTTTATTAGCGTATTGTATATATTCTATTTACAAAATATCTACTGATAACATCAAACTGCTGTGGATCAAGTATACCAAACTTCAAAACAGATTTTTAAAAAAAAATCAATTTGTGAGAATAACCATGTAAAATCATATCAAAACAAGGCAACAGGCCATGGTATTAATTTAGCTACATATGATGTTATATACAGGTCACTTTATTTTTAATAAGTATGATCTAAGGAGAAGGGTCCTGCACATCCACTTTTGGTTAAACAATGAAATGATAAACATAATTTTGGAGATAGGACTTCAAGATAAAACCAGCACATTGCAAAAGACCGAGATAGTTTGCTCAAGCTCAGGATCTGAACTAGGTAGTCCCGTAAGAAAAAATGGTGTATTGCACAGTGTTCAATATTACCATTTGTAGCTCATCAGACTCTCAGCAGTAATCATAAATGACCTAATTCATAACAGCTATAAATGAACACACAAATTCCATCAGCTTCCCATCTACGAGAATTTCATGTACTTTACACATTAATTCAACTGAGTTATACAGTGTGTAAAACCAACAACCTACTTTGTAACCTCCGTGTGGGACTCTCGCCATGGAGTTGTCTGCGTGGCAAATATGGTGAGGGATGGGGAAGTGGCAATGAAGAAACATCATGTGTTTGAAGTTTGTACCAGTGAGGTTCATCATCTAGTAATGCTGTCTCTAACTCAATAAGAATCTAAAAAAGGAAAAATGGTTAAAAGTAGAAAAGCATTACATGACAGAATATTTTAAAATAGGTATGGTCATAAATTTTATTCTATTATTCTCATTGTTAAGGAGTTTGTCTGAAGTCTTATAAAAATTTTACATTTAATATGAAAGGAGTTCCTGTGCCTTTTACAACACTAAGTACAGCAAAAATCTTTCACAAAACCTTTACTACCTTATGATAGCCTTTACAGCATTCAAATATCTTGTAGCAAGTTAGTCAGAGACATGTCAACATTTTGCTATAATACAACTACGGATAATATGGATTCTAATGAACAATTCCAAAAGAAATTGAGAAACCATGGGAATGTTGTTACTAAAATAATAAACACAGAAAGAATCTCCTATCAGTACTATTTCATAAGCGTGAGATCACTATTTCTTTACCGCTAAGTGAAATAAAGACAAATACAACAATCTAAAACAGATTTGCTTTGCTATACTTAATAAACTTTCAAAAATACTGTATCTAGACATGAATATTTGAGCAACAGTATTTCTGTAGTAACTACCCATTATTATATACCTCTCCTAAAAATTCACTTTCTTCCTCTCGAACTCTTGCTTGGTCCCAAAGAGTAATTTCTAACATTCGTTCTCTAAATTCTCTCCGATGAACTGGAGAATAAATGAATGTCTGATTCCACTTAGGTTCCAATGTTTTCTTTACTGTTTTTGTTCTTCTTTTATTTTTATCACTGCAAAAAACAATTAAACATTAAAAATGTTCAAAAGACCATCATACTGTAATAAGAATATAATGGAAAGTAGGAAAACTTAAATCAGCAGTACATTTTGAGGCATTTTGTGCACTATAATCCATGTCAGTATTAGTCCTTTATGATAAAGTTCAGCACATATATTGAGGATAATTCATAACTTCATGTTAAAACTAAAGTTAGGTGATTTCCAGTTCATGTGTCAAATCCAATTTTAAGAAGTTTCCTGAAAAAATGAAAAGTTTTAATATGTTTGGTTTGGAAACAGTATATAAAGAAAAATATGGTTCTGTAAATGGGATTTCCATGAGGCACAGTCTGACAGTAGAAGACGTATGCAGACAACACTGGGCACAGCAAAAATTTTCATTTCAGATAAATGAGCCACCTGATTCATTCAAGCTTCCAGTCCTACAGCAGCTGACTCTTAACTGCAGAGCAGGAGGGAGCCCACATGAAAGAGTGATCAGGGAGCTACGGGAAGCGTGGGGCCTTCTCCGCAGGGTTTCCCTGACTAAAGGCTTCACAGCTAGGAAACCAGAAGCCCTGAGAACGAGTTACATGTCTTTTTCCAGCAATACCACATGAAACAATTTTCTCAAAACAGTTCCCAAAATCCTTTGGGTCACTCCAAGGAACCACCCACACTGAAAGTGGATCTCCACTACATGGTTGGCCTTATATTTTGGAGCCCAGTAATGTCTCCATGCAAGGCTACCATGGAACTCCAGGCTCAGGCTCCAGGGTGTTGTTGAAAGCAATGTGTTTTACAGAATATTTCTGCTTGAAAGAATTAATATTTTCTGATGGAAACAAGTTACACTGGAAAACACCCACGCTCCTTCTACTGAGAATACTGACAAGAGTTCTCATAACAGTTGATTAATTTTAAATCTGCTAATTACTGCATAATGCAGCTGTGCTACTAATTTATGTGGATTTTTTAATATGGCAATGACGATTTGTCCATTTGCTAATACTTACAACTATAATATAGTTATTGTATTTCTGAACTGTTATTTAGAAGCTGGATCAAAATTTTAACTAAGAAATAATATTTTTAGACACACGGTTAAAACAAATAATGTAATTATATCTATCATATTAAAGATTTGTTTACCCTTGAGAATGGAAATAAGTTACATTGGACAAGCTTTTCCAATGAAATTTGTTTAATCAAAGAGAATTCAGTATCTTTATCTAATTAAACGCTTGACTTATTTAAGTGTATTTTACCTCAAGCATATTTCCTTCTAGTACACAAGAAATATATTGTTGCTTAATTAGCTTTTACCTCCAAGGAAAGGCAAATAGATTTGCACATCAGAAAAGAACCACAATTCAATAAGACAAATTGCTGACTCTTATATAAATGATAGAAAACACATATAATAATTAAGGAAAAAGTTCTGAATACTGGACATAAATGGGAAACAGCATAGCATAATAATATTTAATGTTATGTAACTTTTTGTATCTGTATACTTGAAAGTATTTTATTAAATATTTTCCTTCTGTATACATTTAGTTATTACAACTTACATTGTGAAGCATTCTGAACACAGACATTTCTAGAAGATTTATTAATCTCGAAAAAGCAGATAATTTAAGCACACCTGATTCTCAGTTTAGCACAGCTTCAGCATCTCCAAACACACTACAGCAATTTGAATAAATGAAGAATCTAGTTCAACAGTTCAAATATTGGTGAGCCCTAGACAATCCATCCTAAAACTTTTTGTCATCAATGATACATCAAATTATGCAGTCACAAAAATTTTCTTGTTAACATATGGTATACAATGAAAGTGGAAAAGCAGTCATCCAAAATACTGAATAGCTTTAATTCCTGCTGAGGTCAATTGGTACTGGAGATAGCATCTTCCCACCTTAGCTATTAGGAAAAGCATGGATATAAAAATATAAACTGTAAAGTTACATCCTATTCTACAGATTCATCAGTCCACTGGTCAATCTTTTATATACTGAGTCAGGTTAAATCTTTGAATTATTTGGTTGATACACTACAAAATAAAGTTATATGTGTTCCCCTACTGACACAATCTGAGGAAATACCAATTTTAAAAAACAAATGGGGAACACATTACCTCCTTTGTTTTTCTTCCCAGCACCTAAGTTGAAATGGCAGAAAATCCTGGACTAAAAAACGAAGGAGCTATTCAGATATAAGGGTCCCTACCACAGTTTAATTTTCCCTAAATATGTATGTAATGCCAGTCTAGATTAGTATCAGTTTTGTGCTTTAGGGGAATTTTTCAAGCTGCATTTGGGAAATCTCAAGTGAGTCCCCTTCAGTCTTAACTCACTTATGCTGTGATATGAAATCTATGGGTTTCAGATGCCAAACCTGTTCCTGCTTTTTTTTTATATAAAGGTTGGCAAATGAAACTACTGGACTGATCAGTCTAAAAATCTGTGAATATACCTTTATAGCATTTTATTTGCACTAGACAGGAATAACTGTCAGAGGGAATAAGGGCATTATAAAACACTAACAACATTCTTTGCAAATAACAGAACCCCAGTCAATTACATATGTTTATCTTTCCTTTTCTATTCAGTATTTAATAAAATAGCCAGTGAAAGTGAGTTAGTGTTTAGTGTTCAAAGACACGTTCCTGTTACATAGCATGTTCTATATAGAATATCCAAGCTATAAGATTTTTCCGTATATGTATGACCAGTAATCTCAGCTGTGCATGCTATCTGAGTATCAGGCTAATTCCTACTCAAATGTTCCTTCTCTTTGTGTTCATCCTACCTTCTGTCTGGAAGAAAGTAAATTTTAACATAAGGATTCCTTGGCCTCCCATCTTCCCTTGAAGGAAGATCCTTTGCTCCCAATATTGTCACTATTAACTGATGACCAACCTTGTCATACCACAGTTTTATCTGTAATGAGAAAATATTAATTAGTGAAATAATTTCTACAACATAGTAGCATATTAATCCTTAAAATTAATTTTGCTCATAAACTTCTATTTATATTGGTTACGTAAACAGAAAATATCATGTTCTACTTTGTATTTCTAATAAACTATAAAAATAAATTAATATTATAATATCTTCAGTATGTACCAGGAGTTATTCTTTTTTATAAACCCTGTACAATAAGTACATTATTTCACACTAATAGTTTTTCACATGGTGCTCTGGTTAGGATTATTTTCTCTTGGCAGTGATACTGTATTACTTGCATTACTGATGTATGGTATTCATATATATACATTTCTAAGGAGTTTATGCACAATGAATGAATGAATTTTTCATGTCCTGTTGTGCTGGAAAGACTATGGGATAAGACCATAAATATTTAAAATCTCTAAATGTTTTTCAAGATGCAGACTCATGCTGAAATCATAAGCCATCCAAAAATTTTAAGAGATGTAGGCTCAGTAGTCCAAGCCTCTTCACAGTCCAACTCAGCAACAACAAGGCAAAACCTACTATTACTCATCTGTTGAAATTATTACTAATCAGTCTTAGGCTTGGTCTGCTATCCTTTTTTACTAAAGTCATTAGAAGTTACTATTTAGCCATTTCAGTCTGAATACTATAGCTACAAACACATTATTCAAGGAGATGATATACCTACTTCAGAGCAGTCCCTGTGGAAGGGGGAAATGATGCCACTAAGACAAAACAAGTTTTCCAAATAGCTAGGGAGTCATTACACGGTGGTACCACCACAGTATCATTAACTACAGCAGACAGAGGAGACTCTCTTCATGGGGATTTTGACTGAGACATAGGACAAACTAGGACATTTAAAGGAAACTCTGACCCTGCCTGAACTAAAGGGAATCAAAGAGGATAATGCTCAACCTCACATCTAACCAAGCAGTGCACCTTTAGGCATGAATAAATCCTAGCTAAGGTAAAAATAACCAGGGGAAGGTGCACTTTCTGTGGAGCCCCACTTTCTGTGGAGCCTATCTGACATCATTTCAGACAGCGTCTCCATCTGCTATTATAGCTCCTCATCTTCAACATTTCAGTCACTTAAGGAAAGGCCTTGATACAATTCTCAAGACTTTTGACTCACCAACAAGAAGCTGATTTATCTTTCTGTCAGTCCTAATACCTCAGTAAGCAAGATTACGCTAAGACAAACCAATGCAATCAATGGTGGCAGTGTACTTCTTCCTTCTCCATTACTTCTTGCAACTCCTATAGCCACCAATCATCAGTGTTTGAATGGATATTAAAAAGGGGAGGATACCTTCCCTCTATTAGCAGGTCGTTGGCCCTGCTACTGACTTTATAGGTTTGTGGTACCAAGAGTTAAAAGGGCTCTGTGGCTACTAAAGCAGAAAGCTATTAGAGAAATTATCCTTAAAACGTCAGATTTAAGAGAGTTCAAGATGCTGTTCCTATATTCCTGCAAAGCAAGGGGCTTTGTCAGTATTTTTTCTAAACTGAGAATTATCTGAACTACTAGGTACCTTATCCAGCTACAGATCACAGGTAGAAAGCTTTGCACCAACTGTATGAATCCAAAGCAAAGCTTAAAGGCCTCTGAAGTGCAAGTCAACTCAAATGCTCTCTGACACTAAATGTATCCACCTGCAGGCTTCCCTGAGAGTCCTTAAGCAAAGGACAGATGGGTAGTCCCACACCCCAAGTGAAGCAGCACTGAAGACAATCTTTTTCATCTGCTTTTTTTTGGAAAAATTATCCTTGCTTAAGCAGAATGCAATAGACTTGTGATGCAGACACTATCACAAACTGACTGAGGGAAAGTGAGATAATCTAGACATGAATGCCAAAAAATATAACCAGAATTATGCATTCATATTCAGGCTAAATATTTCTTCCAGACTGAATTTTTGCAGGAAAACTTCAGGCAAAATATTTGGAGATGACTCTAAGCAGAAAGTTAAATCATCTGACACCATTTCTTTGAGACGCTCTATCATCTGTGTTTTAGAAGAAACTGAAATATGTATTGACTTGTACCTTCTACTTTTCTCTTGATGTTCTGAAAAAAAAAAAAATTGAAAAACTTGTACATAATGGGCATATTTTCCTTGTAATTCGGATTGTTACGGGAAAGGTCAGGAGGCAGAATTATCACCAGAAGCCTTTCTCCTGTGTTCACGCTGCTAGCACTCCAGTATACAACACAGGCACTTGTAACCCAAGATTCATTTGACTGGAGAAGAAAGGAAGAAACTGAGAGTGAGAGAATGGACAAAGAACCCCATGGAGGGGATGATGGGATTGCATTCTCATGGGTTTAGAAGAAGAAAGAAGGGACAAATCAAAACTGCTTTAGAATTACTGGGGAAGTAAAAGATACAGGATGCTTCTTGGTGAAACACAGGAAGAATGGAGCCACTAATGTCAAGGACCATAGAAGAACAGAGGGGGAAAAACAGACTGAATGAGAGAAATTGAATGAGGTGACAAAAGAACCAGCCATTTTGTAAGTGGCACAAAATATGTTGCACAGAGATTGGGATGAAAGAAAATCTGACAAGAAATCAAGGCAGGAAATTGGAAAGGGAAACAAGGAGTTAGACTAGCATACTGAACATGGAAAACGAGTTTGGGAATAGGACTGATCTAGTTCTGACTCTCCTGTGCATAAGTGCTACGACAATATTTGTATGTTATGGTATTTTCTTACAAGAACCTTTCCTTTTCTATTCACATGGAGAGGAAGGACAGCCACTTAAGACAGCCTGGTGAAGTCAAAGAGAACTGGATTCTATCCCTTCCTCTTTCCCAGAGCTCCTGTGTATCGAGGGGTGGATCCCTTAAAGGTATTTAAAAATTGCATATTCTTCATTGTCTGGGAGCCTGGCATGAGACCCTGGAGCCTGATACATAGTGCTAAGTAAAGCACTGAAATAGAAGTCTGAGGTGTGTATTATGCCTGGACAGAACGTGGTTGTCTCAGACTCTGATCATAGGTTCTCAGTTCTTAACCAATAAATACAGGACAATCCTACATCTCATAGAATACTCTATGTATTTTATGTTGTGAAATAAACATGGGATAACACATGTATAACAGAAAAGTTGATGAGGAAATTATTTTCTTTCATAGCTCTGTATGCAGAAAAGGTTCCTAACACCAAAAAAACTGAAGAACATTGAATTATTCAATCCACAGGGTGAAAGTCCCATAGGAATGTACAGTTGTGATGCTCAGCACTGAAAGACTTAAGTAGCAGGCTAACAGAGCAGAATCTACAAACCCTTCATTCAGCATTTTTTTACACAGGCAGGAATGGCACTTTTAAAAGCTTAGAACATGTAAGAAACTGTGACAATGCATTCCTGATCTAAATGAAGGAAAGTGAAAGCTAAAATAAGAACACATAAAATACACCGCATGCCAGCTGATGCTAATGTGGAGGCTAACGCCTGTAAAAGTCTTCTTGAACAGGACTTTGTCTACCTAGATAATTTGGGATGCATGCACCTAAAATTCACTTATAAAGTGATCTGACCTGATCATCGGGGAACGGAGATGAGGGTCTGGTCCCAGCTTCATAGGATTCTTTCTGGTTTTTAACCAACAGTGGTCTAATAGAAGATCAATATACATTCTGGGTATCAGGTCTGGAATCTGCTACACTAAAATTAAGCCTTCTTTGCTATCACCACACACATATATTCCCAGCCACACTGTATCTCAGCTTCAGATGTGACTTCACAGAAGAAAGGGATGTGCAATAGCTTGATGATAAAAGCACTTTACTGACAGGGCTTAAACCACAGGTATCCTGTGTTTGGAATGAGCCTCCTACACATAGAACAGTATATGAAAACTGACTGCTGGTGCTGCGTTCTGAGAAGTGAGGATGCAGGTATCCAGTGTTCCTGTTTGGTCCTCTGTAGTCTCAGAAGATGGCTGCCCCTGGAGAATCAATTCAACCTCTGGAGTAGCTTAAGTTTCAAATCAAGTTAATGAGTATAGGTGTCCCTTATTTGGGCTGGATCACTCACTTCAGATATTGAGGTACTTAGTTCTTCCCTTCAACTGTACAAGTCTAAACTCTCCAAGGCACCTCTGACTTATTTGAAGCTAGCATAAAGTTACATAAAGACCATAAATTCCATTTACTAGATTTCATTCTTTTTTTTTTTTTTTTTTTAGATCTCATCTTAACTAGAAATTTTATTCAGAGAACTGATTGAGGTCAGAGTTCTGGAAAAGAAGTAATAATGTAATTAGGATCCATACTGTAAATACATATGCCTAAGGGAAATCATTTAAGAAAATCTAGATAATATTATTGTTGCCACTTCCTATATACCTATCTCATGAATGCTTGACTGCTTAACTATGCAATTTTAATGTGGTTCTGTGTACAGCACATACAGGCACACCATCCCTTAAGTGATAACTTTAAATTTAAAACCAGAGAATATTTGAAGTTTTTAATTCTATGATACACTTTATTTCTTTATTTATTACATAGGGGTTGCTTCATGAATCTCATGGAAAAGCAATAAAACTTGTGCCACTGGGAGAGACCACTTGCCCTGCAGCTTGATTTCTACGACCACAGCCTATTCAAATATCACTGGGTTTGAGAGACAGCTGGCCAGGCATTTTTGTTCTTCTGTTGCTTATTATAGTTTATCATGTATCCTACATATCTGTTTATTAGTGTAATATTTTGAAACTGAGATACTGCTTTTCTTTCTTGAATTATTATGAAACAAAAGATACATCAGCAGGATCTGTTGTTGAAAAAAAAAAATCAAATTTTCAGTTTATTTTAAAAAATGCTTATAGCAATCATTTTATTTGGACTTAAACTTATGTAGATACAGAAACTGCCCTGAAGTGATAAAGTCTTCAGAGTAGCTGAGGTGAGCTTTGGATGTTGTTAAACATACCTCTAAAAAATCCTGACTACTGAGCGTTGCTAAACCAAACTATTGTTGTTGTCTGCTTCAGTTGATGTCTGATATGCTGGAAAAAATACAAAAAAAGGCTGTCAAATTGAAGAGCTTCTAGGATATGAAGGCCAGAAAATGATGGAGGTATTTAGGCTGTCCTAATCTAGATTTATCTTAAAAATTGTTTTTTAAGTGACATCATCTTAATTTCAATAATGCCAAATAGATGCATGTATATATTTTTATACATGATCAAATATACTGATGTTCTGTATTAAAGCAAAAAGGATGTCTGAAATTTCTGAAGTTAGAGAAAAAACAGTGGTTTCATGGCAACTCTGGCTCAAAAGGAGGCTCCTCCAAGTAAACAAGAGATACTGCATGGAAAACACAAATTTAAGAACAGCTCGTTCCCTGTAAAGATATTGCAAAGCATCACTCCCTAACTTAGGAAATTGCTGGTATGCTAAACTGAATCTATAAGTTCGGGAAATAAATATGCGCTTTTCCAAGTACTGTAGAATTAGTAAAAGTTCAGGAGAAGGGTGCACAATAGGGAAAAATAGAAACTGAGTGCTTTTCTTCCAATAAAATAATAATGATGGGGTTTAAATAATCCAGTGATATAAGAGCTAGAAAATTAATGGAATGACAGGAAGAGAAGTGTGGAAGAGGAACTTGTGCCAGAATCTGGGACATTCATCACCAGGATCAGTTGCAGACTAACAAGAAAGAAGATACAAGAAAGAATAAAGATGTACATTTCCCGTTGAGAGGAATGAAACAAATAGGTATAAACAGAATGTTTGGACATCCGCATTTTTGTAGGGAATTCTACAGACACAGCTACACCACAGCCATACCACAGCCCTCAATGTAACGTATACTTCCTGACAACCATAAACAACAGCTCAGAGCTCTGAGTTAGCTAATTTCTCATGCCAAAAAGTAACCAGAGTGCTGCACTGCTGCTGAACTGCTTCTAATACCCTTGTTTAAAGATCTCTGGAGTATTTCTGTTCTTCTCTGCAGCCTGCATTGTAAACATATCTTAAATTAATCCACGTTAAACTACCTACCATCACTACTCAAAGTGGGCAGATGGGGGACTTCTTGCTTCAGTCTAGTTGTAAAGATGTTTCCAAGGTCATAAATTTGAGTTCTTCAGGAACTTGTCACAAACTTTATGTTTAGCTTTGACCATTACTGAGCTTTGCAAAAAACTGTTAGAGAGGTCCACAAGGACTCCACAGACATTGTGCAGAAACAAAATAGGGGCTAAAATAATTCCTACCTACAATATCAAAAATAATCCACCAGAGGTGAGAGAATAAGCTTCATCCACTTTCATCTCTTGCTGGACATTCTCTATGAAGCATTAGACGTTTTATTTTCTGAAATGACTACCATAGTCATTCAATCAAAGTATTTTTTTTTTCTTTAGAAGATATTAGTCTAGAGTAGAACTGACAGTTTTTATTTCTGTGTCTTTCTTTTATATAATTTGATTAAAATAAAGAACTACGTGTTACTTCGACACTACAGTATTTCATGAAACATGCAAGTTTCAGGCAGATGTTTCCTTTTTAAAATGAACAATCTGTTGTCATATCATTTCTTAATTTATTTTGCATATAATCAGAAAGAAAATAAATATTAAAAGACTACTTATATCATTTACAATATTTACCTTTATGAACTACTTAACAACTTGTGATTGAATTTGTACCCCTCTCACTTCATTACCATAAGCAGAAGCCAAAATTCTTAATCATGCTAAAAGATGTTTTAGATTTTTATTACAAAGCCAGTTTATGCCTGTAGCACATAATAATATGTTAACCTAAAGGCATTACTTTTCTAATCTCATTTTTTTTTCTTAGATTTTTTTTATTCTGAATTTACATTTAAGCAGTTTTAAGAACTACTTTTGGGAAAAAACAGAATGTGAAAAAAATTGTACTTTATCAAGTATGAGTCATAACCAAACCATTTCCTACAGTCTTATTTAGAATTCCTTTATAAATATATATATATGATCTCTTTTTTTCTTTTCAATATGATATTTAGTCATTTCATTCTGATCATTTAGATCATCCTTTACATCTTTCCTTGAGCAGTTGATGAAACAACAGAAACATTTGTACAGCTCCCACACAAAAGATTGACATCTCCATAAAGATATTTTGTAAGAAAAGCAGATAATAGTCTATTTAAAAAAACTGAAAAACATGCAGCAAAGCAAGATAAGCGTTGTAACATATTAGTAAAACCTACTTTTGCGTTAATCTACAGTACCTTAGGAGTTTCCTAATGAAAAAAAGCAAACAACTTGTACCTAAACAGAGTACTAAAGCTAAATAAATTCAGTAACACAATGGGAGAATTAATTTTTTATTTAAATAGAGTTTTGGTTGTTTTGATAAACTTTTAAAAGAGAATGCAAGAATCAAGTTTCAATACACAAGAAATTGTTTCTTTAAACAAGGTACAAATTTTTTGCCTGTTTTCCATTCAAGGCGCTAATATTACTTGGAAAATGCAAAAAAGGATGTGTTAAGTAATGATCATGAATGATTTAAAGAGACATTCATCTTTATATAATGACCTCAAGCACAAAATTAATTATTGCTTGAACAGTACACACATTTTGTACGTGGGATGCATAGCCATCATCACTATTGAAGCCTGTATGAGTTCAATATTGGGTAAACAGCAAACAAAAACTAGCTGTCTCTTTAAATTTTAATTTAATATTTTAACCCCCATGCAGAATTTTACAAGCTGCTCACAAGATGATATGAAACTTGTTAATATGGTTTAAAGCAACACACTAAAAATATGGGAAAACGGACTACAATGTAACATTTTCCTACTATGCATTTTCCATAACAAACAAAAGAAAAAAACACAACTTTAGTTTCTGTCAGGCAGACGAAGTCTTTACCTGAACCCTAGGAACAAAAGGCGTTGTTCTTCTACTAAGGCTTTGGCTCTGGTAAGCAAAATTAAAGAAAAAGCAATAAAACAAAACCAAAAAGGACAACACGCTGGAAACTAAAAGACCAAAAGTAAAAACAAAGACACACAACTATTACTTTAAACACAGCTTTACACCAACAACATATTTATCTAACACAAAGTATTTTAAGGCAATGCATAAATCAAATCTGCAAATCTGTTACCAAATCATATCAAAAACCTGTGACGGAAATTCTGGCCTTAGGGAAGCCAGCAGGAATTTTGCCACTGATTCCCCAGGAGCAAGGATTTCACTTTGCAGGTCTACAGATAACATTTACAATCGATTTAGAAGTAACATTAACAAAAGGAGCAGGTCAGCAAAGTGTGATTTAAAAGTGGGGTAGGAAACATAATTTCAGCTTGATCATCTCTTTCAGGAAGACTGTAGATGCATATTCAGAGACAGAAACAAGTACAGTCCACGCACTGACAGCCTTTGTTGCTTTCTAGAGTAAAGCAAGTAAAGTAAAAGGTTTTCTCTTTTCTGCAACTTTAAGAGGCATTTCTATAAAAAGCTCTCCTAAATACTTTAGAAACAATTAAAAGAAAGTTAGTGCTATATGGTACTAGCAGTACATGGAGGACAGTACAATCAGTGTATGTCAATTGTCTGGCAATCATGACAGAAATGACACATGGTATATACAGAAAACCCCTGTGTGAAATGGGATCTAGAGCATTTAGCAAACTTATTAGGTGCACTGCATGCATAGATGCATTTATAACTTATTTTTGTGATGAAACACTTCAGACCACATACGGACTTGCAGCTTCCAGTGGCCACCTCAAGACTACATCAGTACAGACAACTCCTCTAAGTTCTTGGACTGGCTACAAACTCCAGCCAACGACTCTCCATCTTCAGTTTAGGGCAACAGCTAATGGAGTTGCACAGAAAGGGCACCAAGTACAGGGAACGGACAGGAACAGGAGCACATATCTCAGGGGGCCAGTGAGTGGGGGAACAGGAGTGTGGCAGTAGGTCACAACCAACACAGAATCTGACAGTTCTGAATCTCTCTTATTGGTTTTCCAGACATTATTGATCTATTTCAAAGTGATGGAAATAAGCTACTACTCAATATTCACTTCCATAAGAAATGTACCCAAAGTATGGAGATAGGCAGTATGATGATGGTTCTGCCACCCTCCCTGCTTACTTGGCATGCACAGATGCTGGAGAAATCTGTTCCATAAAATGCATGAAGTCATCTGTTCTCACACCAAAGCAAGAGGATATATAAGAAAATTTGACTGTCTAGATCATAGGTTTTGCCTGATGTGTTCCTGTGCTCTATGAGGTGCAGCAGCTGCACACTTCCCTCCACTCTGCACAGACAGTACTGCATAGCAAAACGTACGGGTGTCAGAATGTGACCGACTCACACACAATAAAAGATTGCTTCTGCTCCATATTACAAGAGAAATACAGACATTTCAGAATATCTCATTCCTAAAAGGGATAGAATATCTCCCATCATGCGCCAAGGATCCTCATCTTGATATTCTGCCTTGGAAAATGGAGGGCAACAAGCACAATGTGTGCATTACCTAGAACTTTCCAGGTTTTGACGTTAGACCAACAGCAATTTACTTGTGTAGAGGTAGAAAAGGGAGAAAAGAAAGGGGAAAAGGAAAAGGGGGGAAGGGGACCATGTCTCATACTTGACCTCATCCCCCCTAAAATGCTGACATATTATGTCCTTCACAATGTACAGTATCAGCTTTCTAATATGCTACAGATATTACAACTATAAGTAAAATACCTGTATTTTTATTGCTTTATAAACTGAGTATGTATGGAAAAATCTACTGAAGTGGTTCTGTGGTTCAGCTGTACAAGGAAATAGATTAATTTGATAAATTACATCCCTTTACTGTTAGAATTTCCACCAGTACAGAAATTGCAATTTTATACCTATATCCATTTACATGGCCTTCTAGTCACGTTATCAGTCTCTAAACTTAACTACTGCAAAAGCATTCCAAGTTATACTTTTCATGCAATATTGAAAAAGTAGCCAGAATGCAGTAATGAAGTGAAGAGCACCAACACAAAAGGAATACTGAATTCTTCAAAGTGATATTAAAGGAAATAGAAAACAGTGAACAACCACAGAAACAGGAACCAGACAAAGCAAATAACAGTAAAACAATAATTGCAGTAAGTCAGATACTCCCCTGAAAGAATAATGTGGATCAAAAATGCCATAAAATAAACTGCATGGAATACAGATAAATTATTTATATACCTTAGCAAATTATAACGCACACTAGTTTACTGTAGCTGCACATAATTTGTTCAATTAAATATATATTTGGGCAGAATAATTATTAATGGAAGGAAGATTTCCTAGCTATGTGAGATGGTTTTCTTCATGGGAAATCCTACTATCCAGCTCTAGAGTGTCACTGTAACCTCAACAGAACAAAACAGGTACACAGACCAATGCCAATACAGAGGAAAACATGGAAGACCGAACAGACAGAGAAAAACATCCCTGAATAAGAGAGGCATCACTGCAGCTAAACTGGCTAAAACCATACCGAACATAAAGAAATACATTCCAAAACACTATTAATATAGAAACCCTTGAAGGATCTGTAGCACTGTCTGAATAAGGATGCATATATCCAAGTATTCATTCAAATACTTCAGACCTCCATCCAAACTGTAGGTATTGCCACTTCTGCCCACAATTGTTGCATTTCACAGCCTATTAACCACAGCTGCCCTAACAGTGGCCCAAGAGGACCACATGATATTGTCCAAAAGTACAGAAAATACAAAAAATACTTCCAAGATCTTGCTTATCATACATTCCCTCAGATTCATCACACCTGTCTGAATTCAACCACCATTGCCAGAACGTCAACTGACCCACCACTTCCACATAGAACAGCATCCTGTCCCCATCTACTGCCAGGGCTCTGCAGTTATTCTCCTGCCTACGCACTCATCATGAAGAGCACATTCTCGATTACATTTGGAATTTAGTATTTACGTCCATTTCCATCTTACTCAGCCATTTGGAACAAATGAGTGTTCCATCAACTGTTCTGTCAGAAGGGAGCTGATTAAACACATGGAAAACCAAAATAATGAAGCTTGGCTATTTTGTAGTTTTTGAAATTTGAGATTTTTAAAATTCAATTTTTCCCTATTACTTCACCGTTGTTAAAGGTACAAAATTAGAAAATCTCATAGTCCATTCTAATTTTTCAAAACATCTCAAACTCAACAAAGACATGGGTTTTTTTCACTAACTCTTCCAGAGTTTCAAAACTTTTTAAAGTTATAAAATGAGAAACCAAAACTTTTAAAAGTGAAGGAGAAATTATTCATTGCACTACTTTCAAGACACATAAACACTCAAATTTGAGAAGTCAAAAATTTTGTGATTTTTCAAAACTAACTTAAAATGTCAGCTTAAAAAGAAACTACAGATATTTACTGTTCTGAAAAAACTATTCCTGTAGAATACTTCAATTCTCTTAAAGTCATCTTTTTGTAAAAATATATTTTAGTCTACACATTTCATTGTGCCCAGTTAGGTGCCACGTTCCTATCTATCCACACCATCTTCAGACACTGTGACAGCCACCTTTCCTTGCAAAGCAAAAGGTTTAGTGCTATCCTCCAAAAGCCTTGAGCCAACAGCAGCAGAAGCTGTGTTGTGCCATTAACACGATTAACATGAAATACGGCTATTTCCAACTTTTCTTTAGATGGCGAGGTAAGATAAGTGTTCAGATTTTCAAACTGTCTACTGTTAGGTGTCTACATGGAGACAGTGGGATATTATGGAGTTACTGAGCATTTTTGACCTCAGTGTCAGACAACTGAAGCTGTGCATTCTCAGATACCAGCTGCTCTCTGAGGGAAACGAGGATGTTGTGTAGTAGTGAGTACTGTATATAGTTGCAAAGAGTGCATAAGGGAGTACAAAGAAGCCAAACGTAGGAAAGATCTTCAAATGTCTTCTAACATTATTTGGTTTCCTTAGACAGAAAGAAATATTATAAAACTTATTAACAAAGGCATTTACATCTTGACACAAGCAAAAAATACTTAAAAATGGGAATGATGCCTTCTTGAGTTAAACACTGAATTTATATGCCATTCTAAGACATAAAACCTTGTGAATTCTGTTATTCTCAGTAAATTAGAATATACCTTCAAATCTCCTGATACTATTCTTATGCAGCTCAAACTGCAATATCCCATCAAATTACAAAATTAACAGACCTATTGACTTTACTAAGAAATCCTAATCTTAAACTCCTGAAGATTTTATTTCTGAAACTGAGAAAGTGAGGAAGTCAGTTCTGTGTGGTTCCTATTTGGACCATTATTCAGCAATGTCTGTGCAATGGAAGTCTGAGCAGCTAACTCTGGATCTTGAATGTTATACTGGGAGCTAGGAACCAAAACTTTTTGACAGCTTAATCTTTCATGAGATTTAGCCAAAAGAGATTTCTTGCCCCCTGTTTCCACTATCAATAATTTTTGTTGTCTTGTAAAACTGAATTAGTTTTTAGAAACCTCAGTCTGTATATTCTGACACTTCATGTTCCCTTGTCATTGTATTTTGTGCAAAGCATTCTCCACTCTACAGTCAAGATTTCTAGTTTTCCATTTATCCAAAGGATTAAGTCTTTCAAAGTAGTTAAGTACAACAGTTACAGAAAATTTAAAATTATATATTGCAGATGGCTGGTCTGATGAGCAAAACAAATACTGTCTCATGCATTGCAAAATGGAGCCAAGATGGCTGCTGAACAGACAGAAAAATATTTCTTCCTCTCCTCTATCAATAGCATAAACCATTTCCGTGAGACCTATAAACAGTCTGCTTAGATTTTATGCATAATTTTATGTTGTACTCATTATCTTAACATAAACAACTTTGAAGAAATATGAATGTGACATTTTTAAACTTGTTTAACACCAGTTTTGCACTGCTTCTATTCTATTTTCCTCTACTTTTCAACATGTACCAAGCCACAACTAAGCACTTTCAAAAAATCACACTTTGGAGTTGTAAATGACACAGAGAGGTGTACAGAACCCAAGTTCTTCAGTTTAGTACAAAAAATTACCCTTTTAAAGAAAACAGTCAGGTAATGAACTGTGTTCTTAGTGAGAGTGAAGAACAAAAGTGAATAACACTGGCACAAAGAATACAACATTTGTAAACAATCAAAGCAATATATTGGGAAAGGTATATATGAAAGCTAGTGCATAAGAAATAAGCAGTAGTAATGTTCAAGCACACAGTTAATAAAATCTACCAACTGCACATATAAGCGTCACGGTTGAAAAAGTGTATACACTCAACAGCACAAACATAGCTAGAGGCCAAGATTAGACATTTCTGAAAATTTTACTCGACCAGTTTAGCTTATGTAAATATACATATATATATCTAATTCAACATATATAAAATTTCCAAAATATAATAAAATAAAATGTCCTTATGAAACTATGGCCCTGCCTACACTGAGATATATAGCAATTAATGAAGAAAATTAGCTAGTTTAACAAGAAATTTATGTTACATGTAGCTTGCACTCTGCAGTGAGAGTTGTATATACTGCAAAAAGCACAATATTAATATCAATGAAATGTTTACATACTGAAAGCTGTCCAGACAAGAACTGTGGAACATCCCTTAACATGCCAGGACTCATAGGAGAAGTCACTGAAATAGAAGGTCGGTCCATTTTTTGAGATTCAAATGAACTAGAACCTGTAATTATAAAAAAAAATGGTTTATAAACAGTAGCACTTACACATTTTTCACACCATTTGTTAAATAAAAATTGTAGAAATATAACCAAACATACATTAAGTTGTGATAAATATAATTTCTGTATCTATTTAAAATTACCAAATACTCATACTCAATCTTTTGGTGCTCAGATGCAATCAAAAGCTTTCATTTATAGAATGAAAAATAGTTTATTCATATATTTCTGACTGTAATTATGTCAGTAAGCTGAAGGCCCAAAATTCCTAAATAGTAAATAAGTTACTGTGGTCAAAGGAATTCAGTGTTCTGATTTATCATCTTGTAAAATCAGACTAATTTTTAATTATATTTTTACAAAAACATCAAGATTCATGTAATGTTTTTATGCATTTTGTTTCAAACCAACAAGGTCTGCAAACTGTCACAGGACAAGTTTTGACATATAAAACATAGAGTAAAAGTATTTTTATAAATACGAACAACAATCCACTTCTCACAAAACATAAAATGCATTTCAAGACTTGGCAGATCAGTGAAAAGATACTGAAGGATATTTTCATATTATTATGATCGTGTTTATGCCACTGCATTTATTCATGGCTTCTATTATAAAAGAGTTCTAAAACAATGATTAAAAAATAACTCCAGGCTTAAATCCATCTTATCAGATCTAAGCCAAAGAACAAGTTATTTTTCCCCACATGAAATACTGGTTTAGCCAAATTAAGGAGTGCTGAATGGTTCTAATAAAGCAGAAGTATTCTGATATCAAAGTAGCTATCTCTCAGGTTGTAATTAAAGGATGTTTCATCCCTATTTTTAGTTTATAATGTTCAATTGAAATGCAAAACAACAAAACAGGAAATTAAAAATTACTGTTAATGTTCTTGTATATTAGTTAGAATTATGCTTTTCAATCAAAAATAGCCTAAGCTTATAACCAAATGCCAAGCCTAAATTAAAATGTTCTGACTTTTGATAGTTTATTATTAAACAGAGGTAGATAGATAATACAGTAAGATGACATATTGAGACAAATACAGACAAAGAGACGAGAGCTATACTGACTGTAGATGACATTTTTCAATCTATTTGTGCTTACATAAAAGAGAGAGAAGATTTTCCTACCCCACAATTGAAACTTACTGGACTCCAGCTGTGCATGTGTACTGTCAGGTATTCTGGGAATGTCCCTGAAATCAGGAAAATTAAGACAGGCTGATCCTTTATCTAACAAGCATATTCAAATTCCAGTTACACTATAACACTTCTCAAGTCACCATGGAACACATCAGGAAAGGTATGTAATCTGCTGGCTGTCTTCAGCCATGGGGAAGACTTATCTTTATCCAGTATAAATAATTTCAGTGGCAAATTAAAGCCTATAGAACAAGTGGTTGGGTAGATGCAGGAGAGAGGCTGCACAGTCACAAATAAAATAATTCAGCAAATAAAAAAGAACAATCTCAGAGTTAATGGTAGACTAAAACTGTGAGTAGTAGGCTTTATGATGACATTATACATTAACTAAATTTACTGGACCCTTACTCAAACATACTAGACTGTCAATAAAGGCTATCTCAATATGGCCTTTACTGTCCTTGAACCCCAAATTTGGACACTCTTACCTTTTCCATGACTAAATAAAATGTACAGTTTAATCTGAAAAAATTTCATCGTTGCATATACATGGGATGTTGCAACACCTGTATTAAGCTGCATGTACAGCTATGTAATTTTAAAACAGTCACAATGACTAAGTACCGCATTACACCATCCCACCCCCACAAACGAACATATTCTCCCTATGAGGGGTAAACACTACTGTATGCTAATAAAAGCTATCAATATGCTAATAAATAATTTTGGAGGTATTTGAGCAAAACCAAGCAAGATGAAGAGCTTCCGCTCTAAGTCACAGTCAGAACAATATTTATAATCATGATGTGCGTTTCAGTGCAGTTGGCTTCTCCACGGTTGCAACTGGGTGTCAGTGCAGGGCGGCCTCTGCCAGGAGAGGCCGGGGCTGCCCCTGCCAGGCACGGCCGGTTCCAGACGGTTCCAGCCGGTTCCAGCCGGTTCCAGCCGGCCCCAGTGGACCCTCCACAGGGCACAGCGGAGCCCGTCAGCCGAGGCGGTGGTGCCTCTGTGATAACATGTTTAAGGAAGGGTAAAAAAAAGCTGTGCAGCAGCTGTGAGAGAAGGGTGAGGAGAAAAAAAAAAAAAAAAAAAAAAGAGAAAACATTCCTGCAGACACCAAGGTCAGAGAAGGATGGGGAGGAGGACTGACCACAACTCCCATTCCCCACCCTGCTGCACTGCTTGGCGGAGTGGCGAGGTAGGAGAGCCAGGAACAAAGCTGAGAATTTGAGCCTGGGAAGAAGGGAGGTGAGGGGAAGGTTGTTTTAGTTTTGGTTTTAATTCTCGCTTTCCTATTCTCTTATCAATTTCTAATAAGTTAATCTTCCACAAGTGGAGTCTCTTTTGCCCATGATAGTAATTGCTGAGTGATCTTCCCATGAGCTTTTCTGTCTATTTCATCCCTCTGTCCTGTTAAGGAGGAGAAGGGAGAAAACGGCTGGGTGGGCATTTTGTGGCCAGCCAAGGTCAACCCACCACAAAGGTATATGAAAAGGAAGAGGAAGTTAAAAATGCTTTCAGCGATACCCACTGTCTCATACAGTATAAACTAAAGGGTTTGTACTATATAGAAATAAAACTTATCTAGTTCCTTTTCGGTATACCATTTCCACACATTTTTCAAGACTCACTAGAAAGATAGCTTTACTAAGCAGACTCAGGAATGTTACTAAGTGAATTGATGCACAGCACCCAATAATTCAAACAAATTAAAAGGCATACAACTGCTGTAACTGCACACTATAGACAAGGAAAATCACTGTCTCTGTTGTCAGAATCTTTCAAGGGCTATCGAAGAAGTAAATATTTAAGTTTGCATACTTGATATATGTGGAATTTATAAAGGGACCAAACACTCACCCATGACTTTACTCAGTAATACACTCCTGAGCCTAACTTGTAACTTCAAAAAAGCATTTCTATCATACAAGTTCGAGAAGAAAACCTTGAAATCACATATCACTGTAAACAGATTGAATATGAGTTTTCTATTGATAGATGAAACAATAAACTTGAAAGCTTTGAACACTATCATTTATGTTCCTAAAGCATACAGATCCCAGTATATCACAGCAGTGTGAATGGTATTTCTTACATTGAACTCTCACTGAGATAAACAGATTCAGAAGCAGTTTTAGGCATCTCCTTACATTTTAATATAAGATCCATTGCAAGTAGATTGTATAAAATAATTAATAAAACATAATGCAACATTCCTTCCAAATTCAAAACAGTAAGTATGAAAATAACATGCATTTTAAAATAACTATTTCTGAAAATTCAAAAGCAGAATATAAATACATTCTTGTGTACAGACATCTCACACAGAATAGCAACATGGCCATCAATTTATATTTTAAGATAGAAAAAGGGATAAATTGCATGCCAAAAGCATATGATCATATTTTTTTAAAGGAGCTTTCCACTTTATCTTCCTTTATCAGCTTAGCTTGTCATCTTCAGTTTTCACAGCAGTCAGCCCATAACAAAATGAAGAAGAACTAACAATTGTGTTTACTGGAGTTTGGTTTTGTATTCAGAAAATAAAGATGTGACAATGGGTTCTTTTTCTCAGCTAAGTTAATTGCCCAGTAATTCTCTGAAGATTTCTGGCATGAGTTAGTGCGTTGCCATGAGACCATCAAGATACTCTCTTTATAAGTAATAGGATATACCTCAATGCAAAAGTTAAATCCTTCAACTAGGCATCAATTACTGTAATTGAAATAATCACTTCTGACATCTGGTAAATCTGTACTTTTAATGATTTTAAAAACATTGAAACTTTATTCCCTGGGACAGAACACAGATCTATGGTGTTATGTTTCCTTGGGCAAGCATAAGGTATTAATTTCTATAGTCCATTTTATTATGACCAAATTAAAAAGATAATATGATATTTCCAGTTCATCAACTCAAATTTCATGAAAAACATTTCTGAAGCTATATTGTCAATATCAAAATCCAAAGAGTTACATACATCTGACCAGAGCCAATTTGCAGAAAGTATTCATCACCGAGGCTTTGGTTATAAATCCATTTAGATTAGTAACTGGAGTTTTGGAGGTGAAAACCCTCTTTTACATCTACTGCAAAAAGACACTGGGAATCAAGTACACAGAACAACTTTTTTAGCCCTCATCTGGCTCAGTTCTTCAGACTATGTGACAAGCAGTTAAAGCTGAAGAAGACATCTTGAGAGCCCACAGCATTTTATTTAAGGAATTCTAGATGAGGGGCTCTAGTGACAGCAAGTGGAGCACATGGCAACATAACAGAAGACATGATGATAAGGAGGATAAACAACAGACTGTAAATACAAAAGCACAATGTAGAGAATGCAGAAAGAAAAAAAAAAAAAAAAAAAAAAAAGGCTTATTTTCAAGACATAAGCAGTTCCTTGAAACTTTTGCTATCAACTTCTACTTGAAAGAAATTATGGAAGTTCTTACACCTGTATGAAATTAATTTGAAACCTCCTTTCCTGAGACAATATTCTCCTAGTAATGTAGTCTGACCCTTGGCATTACTATTATGCCTACAACTCCCGAGTTATGCAAAGGTTTCTGAGGAGGGGACAGCTGATAAAGCCTTTACCCTAAAGGGGCTGCAGTTCAATATGTATGTAGGAGATAACCTCTCATCTCACTGACAAGATAAAGCAGTTTTTGTTATGATCAAGTTTGTTTAAAATTGTCAAACCAAATTAAGTTCCCACATGTTAAGTTCCTGATGTGTCAAACACAAGAAGTTCCTATTATAGCTGAAGTGATAACAAATTATCCTCACTGAAATCCTTTCCTCAGATTATATGGTTCTAGATAGTGTCTAGTACCTCTTCATTTTTAATTGTTATGTTACCTATAAAGGTACTTGTATATATAAATGTATTTATATCTATAATTATGTGTATTGGATACAAAATAAAGGGATAAATATATTTATTAATATATAATCATAGAATCACAGAACAGCCCAGGTTGGGAGGAATCTTGAAAGACCATCTGGTCCAACCTCATGTAGAAAAGGGAGCCTGGATGAGATTACCTAGCACCCTGTCCAATTGCATCATATACATAATAACAAATTCTGCAGGAGAAAAAAGAAAATTCTTAACAACTGTAAGCATCTTCAGATTCAATGATAAGCATCTCCCTCTTCACAGCCCTGGTATGATCAACTATGGAACTTCAAATGGAGAAGTAAAAAAAGGATGCATGTGACTGTATGCTGTAGGAACTTGGAAGTAAAGTAACAGGTGAAGAAGGGGAAGGATTCACAGTCTAATACAAAAAAATAACTATTTCTATGCAAGAAAAATTTAAGTTTAGACATTGAGACATAGGTCTGAAAGTTAAGAAAATGGGGCAATGTAAAGGACCAAAGAAAAAATCCCACACAGTGATAGCTATTCATTCAGCTATGTTCTGTATTCAATAACAAGCAATAATTTAATAGATTTCATAGATGAAGATGAGAATGTGGATTCAAGACTTTCCAAAGCATATTGATTATGTCATTAGCATACTGTATTTTGTGTGAAATTCTACATTGCAGACTGTCAATAGAGTTCAACATCAGTTCACAGACCAAATACAAATATATAATTTTATATATATTATATAAAAACGGCAATGGAGAAGTAAAAATCAAGTCAAGAATTGCAACAATAAAGAGTATAACCACAGTTTCAGAGCCAATACAGGCAGGATCACCAACTAAACAACCACAGAAGGGAACACATCTTTGACCAAATTAGCCCTTTTTACTTACTGGCTCGATCTACCATTCTGGCTATGCTTTTGGTTTACATAATTTTGCATAGTTTTACTGTTTACAATGTTTATGAATCTGTTTGATATGCTTGCCCTAAAAGTGAAATTTAGCAACATTTTTATCATAGTTAATACAAAAATTTACAAAATTACTTACCCTATTGGTCTTGAAACAACAAGCTCCACTTGTGGCTCAGGTTTGGATTCTAAAATGATGTTATACACCTCCTCAAAGGTGGCTCCTTGTAGTAGCCTTCCATTCCATTCTAATACTTCATCACCTATAATTTCAGTAATAACACTCTGCTTAGGAAGTACTGTACTTATAATGACAATTTAAGCCATTAAACTGTCAGTTCACTGAACTGTGAAACCTGTGTTTTAGAATAAGTTTGGAGTCCATCATACAGAAAAATCCTGAGTATTAAACGTTTTCTGCAGCTGAGCTTCAAATACGTAAAGTTTAGCGAAACCGTATCATCAGCAGGACCCCTATAGAATTAGATAGAGCTTTTACTCGCTTTGGCAGCCATGGTTTACAGAAATCCCAACATGCTCTTTAGAAAATGCAGGTCTTTAAAACATCATATCTCATCAACTTACTATTTTGAAGATCCATTCACCTCTACAAGTTTAGTATTTAAGGTTCAGATAGTTCTTATATTAATAGTTAATATCTCTTGCATATTCTCCAATCTAGCAATCCATGGTTTGCATGTTGGGATAGAAGCAGTTTCTTAATTGAGCTGGTTCTGTTCACACATCTGTAATAGCTTGGTTTGCTCTAAATAAAATATAGACCACAAAATGACTGGCAGGACATCAGTGGAATATTATTTTGAGTATAAAAACATGAATAAAGAATTTAAAATATTATTTTGAACAGCATGACAGTTCATATGTTTCACAAAAGCAGTAATGTCAATAATCTAATAATTGAATGTAAGGTTGAATTCTGCAGTAATTCCTCACACCTATTTAACATAATTTCACACCTAATTGAACTCACTTGTTATCACCTTCAGAAAAGCAACTCAGCAATATAGATCTATAGTAGATACATACCTGGTCTAAGATGCCCCACTGTATCAGCTAAGCTTCCTTTTTTAACTTTGGTGATAAATGCGCAGAGTCGACCTGATTCAGTCATCTTTCCTCCTACTACCTGTTTCAAAGAGGAAATATTTCCACAGAATGAAAATTACTTTAAATTACTTAAATGTTCTGGCAACAGAAAGGTGAACTCAATTAGTTCCTTGGTTTTGAGGTAGCCCAGGTAAGACAGACATGCCTGAAAAAAACACCCCAAAATTTTGGCTATGGCATGTTATATTTGTGCCTATTCTGGCTATTTATGTAATTTAAACAAAATGCAAAAGCAGAATGCTAAAGCTTTTAAACTTTAGCAAATATATGTATATTATTTCACTGTATTATAAATTACCGCCCCAAAAAAGAAGTAAGGTATTGGTCATTAGAATACTTACTTCAATACTTTTTAAGAGAAAACATGTATTAATGTAACAGAACTCATTATGTTCACATTAAGCATCAAACATCTTAATCAAATTCACTTTGGCTGGGCAAGTCAGATGAAAATATTTGTCATACTGAAGATTTTTTTACAGTAAGCATCAACAGGTTTAACTTTAATATTTATCTTGGAATTGGGAGATTCACATAGCAGAATCAGCTATAAGTGCATAATTTTCAATTTTTTAAAGTTTCTTAACAGTCTTTATATTAGGATTTAAAATTTGTGGTACTAAGTCCAGTTTAGGTTACATTCAATAATGTATATTTTTGAAAATTCAGGTCAGGAATAACTGCTGAAAATCACTCTTTTCAGATGTCTACTGAGATTAAAAAGTAGTTGTTCTTGAATCTAAACTCTTCATTAATCTTAGTGAAGAGTTCATCTTTATAAAGTAAGATTTTAGAATTTTAAACTTAAAATTAATTATTTTAAAATAATTTTTAAACAAAAATTATTTCATAGTGGCACTGTCAGTCTCTTCGCTCACATCTTCTAACATTAAGACAATAGCACACATATCAAAAATGATGTTCAACTGGCTTCTCCACTGACTTTAAAAAAAAAAAAAATCATTTGTCAAGTAAATAAAAAATTCAAAAACTGTAAGTAACTACACTGATGTAATCCCTATTTACAGTGTATGACTATAGCCTAATCTGCATACCCAGAGTGAAGTCAGTGTCATGGTAAATAGAGAATGAAGAATTAATCAAACTTCTTAAAACTTTCTTACAACAAGGATGTTGAATCAGAACAAATAGATGCTTGTTACTTTTACTGTGTATAATTAATTCTCATTCTTGTACCAGTATTGAGCTGGAACTGAAAATAATATCACACAAAAATGAGATCAAGGTATGAGCTAGAAGTATCTTCATAATGTTTTTGAAGAGTACTGTATCACGAAAGAGACACAAACATATTACTTCATGATAATATACAATAAATATTAAAGGATTTTGTCTTGTGTATTTAAAATGTAGCAAATCAAACAATCAGAGGTGAAAAAAAATCCAGAAACAGGCTCTTCTATTGGCAGACTCTGCTCTGGATTGAAATATTAACTTCTAGATGTCCCCCATATCTTGAAAAGAGATAATCTACTTTTCACATTTCTCCCCTCTTTTTGGAGAACAGAAGTTATACCATGGTGGAATGCTTAATTTTGAAGAAAGCAGACAAGGCTTGGCTTGCCCAGCAAGGATGCAATTAATACCTTGCAGAACAGACATTCTCAGTAAACTTGTGAAAACATGTCCAATTTTTTCAGAAAAATACAAATTTTTTGAGCCTGTCAGGGACCCTATAAAATTACTCCTGGTAATTGAATATAAAATGTCTCTATATTGTAATTTTGAGAATGGTAAGACATTATAGATATCGGTATACATATACCATATAATGTGAGAATACTTTCATTATAAGGTAGCTAGTTTAATTGAAAGAGTTGTTAGTTCTAAAATTATTCATTACCAACCTTCAATCCGAGCATTGCTCCCGAATCTCTAGGCACACTTCCATCTTTTAGTCGCTTATTTAACAAAATCCGACCAATGAGACGGTCTCCATCTTTGGATGGTTGCCAAGTTACTGGATGCTATCATATGGCGTTAATGGAAAATACAGTGAATAGGATTTTTAAGAAAAATATTTCAGTAATACTTTTCATTTCCTGATATATTTTAAATATACCATAAAAGTATTATGATTACACTAATATTTGATATAATAGAATGACAGAAAACTGTGCTGGAGAAGATTTATTTGAATATATACTCCATCACAATGTATGTCTAATATTTAATAACATTATCTATTTTACTAAATCCAATTTGTAAATATCTAGAATGATCTTTGCGTCTTATTAGAAAGGCATGGACAACTATACATAGTTATCTACACACAATGACAATCCTACCTGAGTATTGACAAAAACAACCATAGAGGTCAGGTCTAGTATAAGAGTAATACTGAAAAAGAAGTTTAACTCAAACCCAAAATTTGATGTAAGACATTTCTTCTTTTTCCACTATTCGAAAAGTGTCAGTTTTCTCTAAGACTAGCAAAAGTTTTCAGTGTTTTACTTTCTCTCAGTAGTATTAGTTTATTAAAAATTATAGAATACATTAAAAGGTATAGTCATTACTCTATATAAATGTATAATTTATTTCTTGGAATAATTAATTCACATATGAAGTGCAGTTACCATGAACATTATTATTCCATAATTATACATGGGCACAGTTATACTTGTATATTAGCATAATTAATAAAATTTTTACATTTTGTGTAATCATAGCACTTTTTCACAGAAAAATAATATTCCATGCTCTATTTCATGCAAAATTAGCAGGCACAGACAAATCTGCTCCCATTACAACTAATAACTCTAAAAAGATTTATCATAATCTCCACCAAACAGAAAGCAAAAATAAAAAATACCAAAGCAGATGGCACAGCCTTTAATTCTGCACAATAGTGCACAAAAATGTCATGACAACAGAACAAAAGAACAACCATGACAGTGAAAGGGAAAAAAGAAAAACAACTTTTCTGTGCAGAGACCAAATTTTCTCCCTTTTTCACCCAGGGTTTAAACTATTAATTTAATTTCAGTCCCAGGAGTTTGAACATAGTAAATCAAATAAGCCAATCAGTAGAATCTTTATTGTTAATTACTTTATACGTGAAGGTAATACCATGACATGCTATTATGCAACCATAAGAACAATATTCCTTTACCCTCTCAATTTTTTTCTTAGGCTGCCAAACAGTAAAAGCTGCAAGCATGCAGAGACTTTTCATTTGTTTTTCTTTTCTGCACCTTAAGAAATGCTACATTGTCTCTAGAAACACCCTAACTTTTATTTTATGTACTATTTTAATGAGTGACAGAGAGCAAACAAAGACCAAATGAGCAGGTTAAAATGCAGGCTCCATAATCTCAGTACCTTCTCGCTATGGCTATGTTCCTCGTTTAGAGTTGTGCTACTACACGTATCTACCCCAGAGTCTTTTATCTGAGGCTCAGACCATTCCAAGTCCTCTTCCAAAGAGTGGCCACCAAAGCACACCATTTTCTTTTGCCTCTCGGATAAGGTGTTAGAATCCGACAAAGCTGCCTGCTCACTAGTTTTTCTTTTTCCCCTTTGACTGTCCCCTATAGGTGTGGGATAAAAAAAAAAAAAAAAAAAAAAAAAAGAAAAATACAAAAAAGAAAACATGCAAAGGTGTAAATAAAACAAAGGAAATGTGAAATGATAAAGGAAACTAAATGGTAAGGCTCCACATGTCTCACCAAAGACATTGGGGATGCCTCACTGCTATGCCAAGACGTATGGTCCAACCAGTTGTAATCCATGTCTCCTGTGAGAATCAGACAGACAAGATAGTGCAGTAAAGGAAAGGTGACAGAAAGGACAGACAAGACAAAGATACAGTAAAATTGTAAAGACTTCTGATTATCCTATTTGATTCATAACCTCTGTTAGCAGGGCTTGCAAAGAGCTTCCAAGAAAAAGTTGAGGCTCCAACAGAATACAACAGATATGAAATACAGTGAGGAAGGAGATACGTCTGTGTGTGTTTGTGTGCGCATAACATTATGTACAATGTAAAGCATCATTGCTTCGGAGTTTTTAACTGTTCCTATAAAATTACTTACAGTAAATTAAAAGAAAAGGCAAACTGTATTGTATTCCTAATAGACATCTCAGGGGAAAAAAGCGCATTTGAATATAGAATGGATTTTTATCATAATCTAAAGAAACAGTTTTGTTTTAAGGAACATATTTCTTTGTTTTTCTAACACAAACTAGCATTTATTCTAATCACTTCAATAAAATACTCTATATTCAGCTGTATGGTAGATGAAGTTTTAAGGAAGGTTAAATGATCTGTTAAGTATGATAGATTGATAAGAAAAACAAATACAGAAAGTATTTGTAGAATAAAAATCATATTCATTTTGCTTGAAATTCCCAGAAAAATGTCAGCTGGTTAAATATAAAGAAGAATTCTAGTATCTACAAGTACCTCATAACTGGGAATGAATGTGTAGGGTTTTGACGAAATATATATATATATATATATTTTATAGAGTCAGAATTTAACCTATATGGCAGACACATGGTAGGAAGAAAGGTTTAAAAAACAGCATTAAAGAAAAGGTCTAAATTAATGCTGCTATCCATAGAACTGGAGAATGACTCACATATTTTATTAAAACATTCTTTTATGTAGGTACTTTAAATTGTAAATTATGCCCACACATTTTGCATTATTACATTTCTCTCTCGTTTTTTTTCCCTCATCATTAGCACATGTTACATGAAAAATATTTTATTACTACATGTTACATAATATTTTGACACTATTGTATGAAGGAAAAAATGTTGACTTTTCTGTTGAGTTTCATGACCAAAAGAACACTAAACCAAAGTAGTTCTGCTCTTTTTATGACAGATCACAAATTACATTTTTCCATTTTCATTACTTCAGATCCTGCTTTGGCATTGTTCAACATATTCCTCTGAAACTACATCAATAAATTGGTGAAATATAACTAATAGGTCTAATCACAGTCTTAAATTTTGTCTAGAAAAATTTACAGCGAGGATGTGAAGATACAGCCCCATAAAACTAAGCAACAAAAAGATAATACATGCTTTAGAAAAGTAAAATACAGTCTCCCCAGAGGGATGCTATGTACAATGAGAAATATGGGGTTTTTTCACTTATTTTCTCCTAATATATAGACTTTCATCTGCCATATGGAAAAAAAAAATCAAGCCTCATTTTCATTTTAAAAAAGGAAATGTACAGAATACAAAGGTTTTATTTTCAAAAAGACACTTTGAACTTATTCCCTTACATTTTGCAGAAACATTGTAGCATATCAAATATCCTTTGATTTCATAAAAACAGTGGTAAGGGAACCTCATGAAATTATTTTGAAGCTTTAATTCATTCATATTTTCCAACTAATAAATAGGCCTGCTGCAAATATATTAACTGTGTTTCTTGATTCTTGAAAGGAAGATAACATTTAAAAATGGAAAATTCTCACCATAACTGCTTTCTCATGACCACTAACATCTTGACTATATTACAGATAAAAGTGTAGCTATCCTGCTAAAGGGAAAGGAAATATTCTTCTGAAATCTAGTAACATTTTGCAAAAGGTACTTCTGCCATTGAATTTTCAGTGCTGCCTTACCTCTGCCTCCAAAGACATTGCTTCAGGGAAACCGAGTGAAATCATTAGTGAGCTCAGGAAGATCTAGCCTTTACTGCATAAATCTACATTTAGAGATAACCAGAAGAAAGCAAGAGTTCTAGTCTACATATTGTCTGTTTTACAAACCCTGGTTTTAAAATATAAAAATTGATCTTAAGTGAGGAAAACTCATTTCATTACAGTAATGATGACTTCTCAGCTCTAACTACATGAACTAAAGGCACATAAGCCCATACTCTTCCAGCAGTTATTTTCCATCATCAGTGTAACTGCTGTACCCAAACCCAAAGTCTGACTAAAAAAGTTGTAATTTTGTTCCTTATAATTTGGTATCTAAACCTAGGAGCAGAGCACTGAAATAAGATGGGCTTTATAAGAAGAACTGTTAAAAGTGATAATTCTCACTCATTCCAAATCCTGACTATTTCTGAGAAATGGTGTATTTTCATTGAAATGACTGAATTTAAATGCAGATATCTACCACTAGACGTTAAGAATCTATCACTGAAAATTACTGGACATTTTTTAAGGTTTTAAAATTCTCAGCAACAATCTCAACTATGATTTATAAGCCACCACTGGAAATGAATCCAGAAGTATAGCTATTATGTTCTTGCTGTTCCACAGTGAACACAGCATTTTACTTGTACTTTATGAAAACCCATCATGGCTTTGCCAGCTCTCCTGGTCATGACTTTTCCCATATCAATTATACAGTTCTGTATGAGCTTGTCAAGAACAAGGTTTCCTATCAAATTGAATTTTCATTTGTGTGTCTACATAGAAAATAACTTCTTAAAAATAGGAAAATAACTCATTGAGAAGTTGAGGCCCCTGAGATGTACTGACAATATACACATTTCCACTGCAAATGTGCATATACCTAGTCACCAACAACTGGTCCAGTCTTCGCTCACTACTCCCATCTTCACAATATGTGCCTACAGGCATACACTCAAAGATAGAAATTAAATTAGCTTTACAGTAACTGTACTTTACAGTACAGATTTGCTGTATATATATATATAAATTCATCCTATAGGTGTTTCTATAAGCAAACATTGAGCAGTGTTTGGCTCTAACAGTCTGGCATATACACACCCACATTTGAAACATACACACTGACTTTCAGTGAGAGAAAGAAATTCTGGATACCTTTTTTTTTGTTTGTTTGTTTTTTAATAGAGCTATCCAAAATAGTGATCTACACACATTAATGCATACAACAATATGTGATAGCACATATTATTTAAGCTATTGAGAGTAATAACTTAAAATTTTAAAAACTTACTATTAATACAGTAAAACCAAAATACAATGGTTCTTTTCCCACTGTAGAACTTCCAATTTCTCTCTACTCTCAGGGAATAAAGTTCTCTTAAGGTAAGACTTTTTACATCTGTTAAAGAAATTTTGCAGCCAACTTTCAATTAATTAAATCTAGAGATATCTAATTCTTCTACCCAAACTTTGGATTTTTACTGTACAGATATATACATCTGAATTAATCAGCCTGTGTTCCTTTTACAGTCAGTGAAGGGAAACAAAACTTTTTAAGGTGTGGCTCATATGACCTGTTTTAGATGTGTACTTCCAGGTGAGATAAATCATACCTTCACCATACCCAAAATGTCTTATTTGTCCTCCATTGCTTATAAAGGAGGTTTCAGTGACTCAGTCAGATAGTCATCATCTTTTCATCAGGAAGATCCTACTACCCTAAATTACTCTTTTGACAAAGCCTCAACTATTTGTATACATATTCAAGAAATTACCAAAATTAGCACAGAAAGGACTCAGGAGTCTTCAAGCTCTCATGGAAGGCAAGTCTACTGGACTGATTTTATGCAATTAGAAATACCAAATATTTCTTTTAATATGTCATGTGAACAGGGTATCATATACTCTCTTTTTCACTCTTCGCCTTAGCAGTGGTAATGAAGACTAAAAGGATCTCTGGACCAGCTTCTTTGTTCAAGTCTTTAAACATAGGTCCCAGTCTCATCTGCTGGTGTAACTGGTTTCTGATTACGAAAAAGTTTTCCAAGAATCCTGTCACCCATGAACTGCCATACACTTGCATACACACACTATATGTGTCCAAGATTAGACACATTTAGTCCAGCATACCTGAGACATTAGCACATAGAAATTACTTAAATTTTAAAAGAACTAGTTATTTTGCAGCAACAGTTACTCTATCAAATGGTAAGTCCTGAACCTAAACCTGCATGGAGGAACATGAGCAAAGTTGAGCCTGTTGCATGATCAAAGCACTCCCACTTCTTGCTCTACTATTTTCCCCTCTCCATTTCAGTCAAGATGTAGAAAGCTGACTTTCTCTTTAAATTAGTTGTGTCTCACAGTAAACAGCAGTTACTCTAAAATTAAAATTATAAGAAAATAAGCAACAACTCCATCCAAAGACTGTTTTCTTCATAGCTGTATTATTTTTTCCATTAAAATACATAGCTATATGTTTCAAAAAAATTGTCATAGAAATTAGAAATTATAAAGCCCTTGTAGATCATTTGCATTTTTAGAGGACTGCACTGTCATCTAAATGACAGGTCTAAATACTGTAAGAGTTAATAAAATGCAATCATATTATTAATAAACATTTTAACTTGTAAAAATATAACCGGGATAACTGTCTACAAGCCCTGTAGCAGATTACATTTCTATGAGATACATGTATTGCTTAGTTATACCCACACTTTTTTGAGGTAGAAAGAATGACCTGATAAGATCACTGGACATAAATTATTCAGTGCAAGTTCTATAAATATTAAAATCTGGACCGGGTAAATGATTTGTGAAATCTTGGAAAATTAAAAGTAATATATGTAAGACACATAGTTGTTTGTTTCCTTACAAGAGAAATTGTTAAACCATAATCTTTCCATAACAAAGACACTGTA